ATATTTGTTCCACCTAGAGAGTAAGAACTGTGACTGCCTTTATATTTGTCAACTGTCATAATTCGACACTTCTTCGAGTTGAGAGGAAGCAGGTTTTCTGTAGTCCAATTAAAGATTTTCGTAAGGTCCTCCTGGAAGATCGAAATATCCGTTGGTTCCTGTATTTCCCTCCAAATCTTCAGATCATCGGCATATAATAGTGAATGTGAATTAAGGACCCCTGGTAGGTCGTTGACAAAAGCAAGAAACAGTAGTGGGCCCAGTATGGAACCTTGAGGCACACCACTCAGCATCGGAAACCAGTCAGATAGAGAGGAGCCGACTCTAACTGACTGCACCTTGGTGTACAGATAATCTCTAAGCCAGATTAATAATTTTCCGTGTGCAGTGCTTTTGACCAGTTGGCACTAAATGATCCTGGCTATCTCATTTTTGAGCATGTGAAAAAGGGAGATAGTTAACAAAATTGTTCGAAACTCGTAAAGATAATGAGAGCAATTCCTCTCTGTGGATTAGCTTCTAGGCAGTTAGTGTTGTCAAACTTTGCATCGCTGACTGTCAAAGTTTGTCATCGATCAAATGGTTCATAATGACTCTGATCACAGTATGTACCTATTATTTGCATGGTTTTCTGATTTGAAGTGTGACAACTTGAACCGCATCAGTAGTTTTGGCTTTTGAAATTGACTGACTATCATTCAAGAATCTCATGAAAAATTAGCCAACATGATTTCGTTGTTAAAATATTTGGTATATTTTGATGGAAATAGTTGTACCCGGTTAGTGCAGTCGTTCCGAACGAGTCTAATATATTTGTCTGTAGTGTCATAAAGTAATTGTTCCTCAAACCTGTCGATGTACTTTCGTAATTATTTTAGTACTAACGCCAGATTTACGTGGTTTACCTTCGGTAGTCTTAATCCTCCATATAACACCTGATCGCTTGACTTTACTTATTCAGTGTTGTCATTTCCAAAACTGCCTTTTCCCGTAGGGTCGTTTTACTGATTATCTGAGCATTGTTCAAAAAATCTAATAAAACTCATCAGCCACTTATAGGTCCATACACTTTTACGAATCATCCCCTAAGAGGGCTTTTGATACTACCTGAGTACGTGAGTTACAGCATGTCGCGGGCTCTTGACTCGTTCGAAACAACTGGGTTTCTGGGTCAACAGTTCTGCCTACATTCAAAAAGTTTTGCCGAACCTTCAGACAAACAGAGACGAATTTAATATCGGACCACGTATTACTGCGCAGTGGTTCAGGTTGACACCTCATATCAGCACATCAAGCGAGCAAGCACTAAGATGAAAGATGAAGGAAGCATTCAACTTTAGGAATCTTTAAAAGGGAACAAAGAGGTATAAGAAAATACTGAGATTCGGTATGACAGTTAAAATGAAGATAATGTGTGTATATCTGCATCATGGATATCCATTGTAAGCCGCTTACTCTAAAGTCTGTGATCACTGTTGTCACGGGGACCACAACCGAGAGGTCTACTTTCCCCCACACGGCTCACACCAGCAATCACAAACTTCAGGAACTGGTGCCATGTTTCATTTTCATGTTTCTTTCTTCCAACCTGAACCTATTTCAGTTAACATTTTGGGACGAGGCAGACAGTAACTAGACATAGATAACGTCACATGAGTTGATGAACCTTCAAAACCTCATTAGCTGACTTTCCTCTCCACTTTACAACTATACACCTGACTTCTCCATTGACGTGTTGATATCACAACACAGCCTATGCTACGAAGTTAATAGTGGTCGAACACTTGAAGCTTTCTTATACCTTCCACCCTTTAATGGCTGTCGTACAACTATGTGGACTGCAGCGCAGTAAAATCGACCATCAGTGGACGATCGGATGTCATGGAGGCTCAATAGGTGGAAGCCTGTCAAGCCTTTCGTATGCGTGCAGAAGTTTCGTCAACCAGTGACTCACTGTGGTTGATTTAACTCCCTACGCCACGTTGCCCAGTGTTAACTAAAGTAGGTTTACGCCGTAGAACGGTTAGAGACAAGCATACTAAAACACGGCATCACTGCGTGAAGTCTTCAACTGTTGACTTGAGCTGTGTGGAGAAAATTGGACTTCTCGGTTTTGGTCAGCGTGACAGCAGAAACCAGTGGTTCAAGTCTTTAGATGAAATGGCTCAAAATCGATCTCAGTGACGCAGATGTGTCCACACATTATCTTCGTTTTATTCATCGTATTGAATGCCTAATTTCATTATTCCTCCTTCCTCTTTTCATTGGCTTTGACCGATTCTCCTCTATTTCTTTATCTTTCATCTTAGTGGTTCTTCGCTTGATGTGCTGATATGAGTTGTGGCAACTTGGACTGCTTTGCAGTAATGCCTGGTTCTATGTCTGTGTATTACTACAAGTTAGTCTAGTTTACTTTTCTGCGACACTTTGTTTGTTCGGTATAGAATATGTCGAGCTAATATGAATTGATGGCTCATTAGTTGCAAATATGAACCTTTTTCTCCCTACCGAGGTTCAAATCACTGGGAAGTATCATTACCGCCTACACAACCAGTATATAAACTTCTAATTCGTTGCTTACGTACGCTTTTATTTGTTTATACTTAGACGGTATTTCATATCCATTTTTCAGATATAGCTGCAAATCAAATGAAAACGAACATTAATGTATAGTTGCTTTCAGAATGGAAATCAAAATCGGCAGTTCTATTAAAATTGAAGATGGGTTTATGTTCCTGAAAATTTATATCGACAGTACAAAGAGATGAATATATCCAGTATATTTTCCTGGCAAGCTGAGTGTCTTAGTTTACCAGGTGTTCTCGGTGAGCCTTGTTGTTTGAAACTTACTTTTTAGATGGTCATAAGAATCTTGTTTACTCAGCTCCTACAAGTGCTGGGAAAACTCTTGTCGCTGAACTTATCGTATTGAAGCGTGTTTTAGAAACGCCACTGAAAGCATTTATTATTTTACCCTATGTTTCTGTATCAAGGGAGAAGATGGTTTACCTACAGGTTGGTCGATGATATTGATTCTTTTTCACTTTTGACATAAGTTACCCATTGTGTTTGGTAACTTTGAGTAACGGAGTTGTTTTTAAGCCAAATAAACAAGCCTAGTGTATAAATACTTATGAAATGAAGTACACATTGGTTCTTATAATCAACTTCATGAGAATAAGTTGTCCAAGTAGATATCACAACAGTTAGTTACATTTTGTAATTTAAATATCTCCTTCAATCAAATAGTAAAATTACTGTACTTATAGTATGCAATCTTTCCACTGATTTGTACATGTATAGGGTTTTGTCTGTTTAACTGAAATATTCACTCATTTACTTTGTGTACCAGAACTTTTCAACAGTTTGGGAATTCGTGTTGGAGGCTACATGGGAGGTCACAGTCCACCGGGAGGCTTGTCTTCAGTCAATGTTGCCGTTTGCACAATTGAAAAAGCTAACAGTTTGGTCAACAGACTAATTGAGAAGAGCGTTTGGATGAACTAGGTAAGATTTTTTCATTTTTAATACTAGTTAGGTGTCATAAAAAGTGAATTTAAGTTGTAGCAATGATGAGGCGATTTAGTACATCCATTGCAATTGACTCCATCTGTAACTACATTTGGAATATATATTCAGCGAACAAAATGAACGAAAGATAATGAATTGCTTCCTGCTATAACGATGTTAACTTGCATCAAAAAGCTAAGCACAACTTGTATTCACTTGACTTAGTAACTATGGTCAACATAATTTGAAAAGTTCAAAATAGGTTTTCATTAGGGTAAGAAAAACAATCATGTGACAATTATTTCCATGTTAAGACCTACGATCATTCTATCTGCAGGTGGGTTTGATCAATTTAATGCGGCCTGTGTGTGTCAAGACTCAGTAGTTCAGCTGTTTAGATAATGGATCCCCACTCCATGCAGTTAGAAAGGATTTTTCAGTTTTATCCAACAGTCAGTAGGTTCATCTTATTGCCTGTTAGTTGAACTTGTACACAGCAGCCACTGCATGATCATTGAGTCAGTCACTTGGCTGCTCATGATCCTCTCTTTACTTCACATCACGTCTTATCCATTACCGAGTCGTATGTTTTTTTCCAAGTTACAGCTTGGACTGAAACGTCCGCCTATTATTTTCACCTAGTTGAAATATTTTGACTGAGATTTGTAGCCAATAATGATAATATTCGTTGAGTTTTCTCCAGAGTTTGATATATCGTCGCTGACGTGGTTACAAGGCTAGGTGATCTCATCAGCACAAACTTATCAAGAAAATTTATAGAGAAAATGTCTTTTTAAAGTGCCCACAAAGTCTCCTGCCCTAGTGACGAAATTCCCAGAGGTACTTTGCCTGAAGCTTGGTTGTTTCGTTGTCGACGCAATTCGAAAGTAAATCTCTCTGAAGGTGATAATGTTCATAGTGGAAGATTTACTGTTCAACTTCATGAGAATGTGAGTCAATTGGTCGGGATTATTACTGGGCGTAAATTCCGTTGTGATACCCACTTTACGTTGCTTGTAACTCCGTGATTACTACTATCGAAAGTTCACCATCATCCAGATGAGCTATGTGTCTCACTTCCCTTCTTAACTAGATATCTGCTCCAGTGTTATCCCTGATACATATTTTTCAAATCTTTATGCGTTTTGATATTACTCACAACAATCAACGCACTAACTTCCACTTTCCATCAAATGAAAAAAGCTATATTTTTCAAAAGTTTTGTGTTTATAATAGCATCTTGACATGGTCGTAGAAAACTGTTATACAAATATATTGTCACATGCGACGAACTCCTTAGTGTGGAAATGATGCTTTATAACAGCACTAAATTTCTGATTTTAAATTCGAACAGCTTTGTTGAAGTGTTATCTTATTTGTTCTGCCAAGCAGTAACCCCAATCCTGTAACTATTATCAGTATCTCATTACCCTCAATTAAAGTATTAGTCGTAACGTATACTAATCCGTTTAAATTCAATCATTTTCTAGGTATTGTTGTTGTCGATGAATTGCATCTTATTGGTGATACTCATCGTGGCTATTTGCTAGAATTGTTGCTAACGAAATTACTCCTTCATTCACGTCGCAGATTAAACTCTAAACTAATAGATAGTAGTAGAAGTTCAGAAGACTCTCGAAGCTTATTGAACGAATGTTTGAACAAATCTTTTTTTCATACAAATGGTATTCAAATTATTGGTATGAGTGCTACTTTACCAAATCTCAAAACGCTCGGACAATGGTTAGATGCTGAGGTTTACGTCACGAATTTCCGTCCTGTTCCATTAACTGAATTCGTTCTATCATGTGATACGCGGTCTAAAGTGAATCAGCTTTATAAATTAGTCAACTCTGGTTCAGATAACGTTTGTACTCAACAAACGTCTGCAGAGTAAGTCAGTATAATGTCTTTTTTATCAGGCTGATATCGGATTATGTCAATCTCTGTTACTTTTCAGTACCTTAGCAGTTCTAATAACATAGATAATTTTCTTTTCACATAGAAGGATACATCTGAGTAAGCTATGCATTAAGTAAATGAAACAGTGAAAAATGGTCGTATAAGCCTGCTAAATTTCGTAGCTTTGGAGTTTCACAGTTACTTGGTTGAATTTTTTTCCAATTTTCACTTTTCTGGGTTTCCAGACAGGGGTTATACGAGTGAAATAATCGTTGTGCGAGGGGTTGCTATCGTAACTCCGTTAAATAATGTATAACACTGATATTGACAGCGGTATTAGTTTGCCTTCTGTGGTGAAAACACTGGAACTCTTTTAAAAGAGGTACATTAATCTAACTAGTATGGAATAAGTATAGAAGAAATAACGTAAATTTCTACTTCGGCCGCCAACAGATACTCTCACACATAACTACGAATAGGGAAGTGTCCACACAAATAAGCTACTTTACTTTGTTTCAAAGGTTATAGTAATGTCTGGTACTGCTATTGCTTTTTGGAATAATGTTTGTTATTGAATGAGTTAATTTACCACTCAAGTTTAACAGTTACATATTTGCCAACTCGGGAAAATGTGCCAAGTTGTGTGATTGCTTTTCAACCTTCTCTTGCCACACGCTGCATACATTTTATAGCATACATGGAAACAGTATCAACAGTGATAAAAATTTAAATTTTAAAACACGAAAAGTTGATCAACAACAGAGTTTACCAAAAGCCAATTCTAAGATTTTCTATTGCTGACTTTCTAAACGTTGATTAGAACATAAGTGAAGTAAGCTGACAAATATCTTCATTTTAAATTTGGTAGATATATGGATTAAGGTAACGACCACCCACTGTTCAGTAATTGCTTAGTGGTTTAAATACCTTGATTGTAGTCTGTAACAGCCATTTTCTCTTATTCTAGTTTCCACTTTTAAGTGCACCATCAATATTCATCCATAATATGTTGTCATCTTGTGGAAATAACTCACACCTGTAATTTTGCTGTTTTTGTATGCTCGAATGAACTCAGGTCTCTGGTGCCTACTGGTAATTTACCTATGGATTCACAGCTAACTTCCGATACTCAGTTAAATGTGGTCGATGAAGATGGTGTGTTTGGTCTATGTCTCGATTCATTTTTAAGTGGGCACGGTGTACTAGTATTTTGTCCAACTAAGCAATGGTGTGAACAATTGGCTGATACAATGGCGCGTCATGTAAGGTCACAATAATCTCTCTTTTGATGTTTGTTTAGATTTTGTCATTGTCTTTCTTTTGGAAGCAGGGTGAGGTCATTCGACCGTCTAGTATATCAACCGCCAGGTGAAGGTTTAATGTTTCTTTATTGAATCAGACACAACTATTTTTAGATGTAATGCGTATATTGTTTAGTGTTACCGTTATAATTCATACTATTTCCTATCACAAAATTTGTTACCACATTACTTACTCTTATGCCATAGATTTTCAACCTAACACAATCCTACTTCTCAACGCAACACAAGCAAAAAAATAATTTGCTGGAATCCAATGCAGGGGATTTAGGGGATGAAAATTCGAGTGATCATCAAGCAGGGTTAGATATTGGATCACGTTTAGCAGTACACTTGGATCGAGTTGGTCTTTCCACCTGTGTCGATCAACTAAAGCGCTGTCCAGCTGGTCTTGATACAGCTTTGGCCCGATCTCTAGGTTATGGTGTCGCTTTTCACCATGCAGGTTAGTAAAGGCTTGTGGTTTAGAGGTATGAGCTTTTCTCAGTTTTTCCCACTGTTACCCTATGCTTCTATATTTTCATTCTGTATCTAGGTAGACCGAGCATCATATTTTTGATTAGCAAACCTGACATCCAGTTTATTAGGACATTTCAGAAGACTCTTACAATCAAATTTGTCATTTCTCCATTACATCATAAGTGTAAAAATACATTGTCTGTCAAAAAGAAGTGATGAGTTAGAAATATTTTGTGATTAGAAGAGCGACTCAGGTGAGCTCTGTTAGACGACTAAATCGGAAGACAGCTTGGAATGGCCAGTCCAGTCGATCAAGTCCACGCTTGGTGGTTGGTTTCCCTTCAACAAATGGATTCATTGGTTGAAGAATCCAAAAGATATAGATTAGAATCCATTACTGTTACTCTGATGCATCCACGCATTGTCTTCATTCAAATTATGGTGCCATATATCTTCGCACATTTTTATTCTCTTTTTGTCTTCATTTACAATTGCTGATGTTTCTCACTTCCTTGTTTTTATTTGTTGTTGACTTCCTCCTGCACTGATATGAATTGTAGTACCGTGAGCTTTTCAGTGGTTATCCTAGACCATATGTTGTTGACATCTATGTGTCTGTCAGCTGTGAATAAATGCAACTCGCCCATAGTGTATAAACCTGTAAGTCACGTTTAATTATGCAAAAGCTTATGATGCTACTTAGATACTGAGTGACAAGTACATAAGATAGGTTCGAACTTACAACCTGATAGTCGAAAGCTGATAGCCTAAACCCAGTAATCCAAAACTCTATTTTGTATAAATACATAGATCATATGAGTACATTTTCAATTATCGTCAGAGTTATTGAAAGTGTTGTTTGTCCACTACACTGACTAAGTAGCCTGTTATCTCCAATCTGATCATAACCGGTGATTATCATTCTTATCCTCATAAGTTATTAATTTTTCAGGCCTTACTGTTGAAGAACGGGAAGTTATTGAGTTTGGATTTCGTAAGGGTCTTGTTCGTATTTTAATTGCTACGTCTACATTAAGCTCTGGAGTCAATTTACCTGCTCGTCGTGTTATAATTCGGACACCATTGTTTCATGGCCATATCTTGGATTTTCTAACCTATAAACAAATGGCTGGTCGAGCAGGTCGTCAGGGCGTCGATACTTCTGGTGAGTATAACTTCTAAATTACTGTTGATACTATTTGACGCTGAACTTCGTCTCTTTAATGCATTTTTCGGTGCACTGTATCAAATTTTATTTTAATGGTAATAAAGTAAATAACAGACTGGTTAACATTATTTTGTTTGTTATTAGCATATCAGTAATCTTACAGCGATATACACTGCATAGTAAATCAGACTACTGAGAACCGTTATTTGACTAAGGAACTACTACACTCAGGACATCTGTTTACCAAATTCCTTGCAAGAATTGCGAGGTTAAACACGTAGGTCAAAGTAGTCGGCTACGGTCTATTACCTTATCCGAGCACGAAAACCTAGTTAGGTCAAAATTGGTAGATCCTAGTAAGATAAAGGATTTAGAAAAATGCTTAGCCATACCTATGCACGCAATTACACACAACCGCAAAATAGGATTGGATAGGGTGAGTGGTGGATGGAGAGACTGATAATTGAATCTTTGTTTATCGAATGAACACCAAAGATATGCAACGGGAATGACTCAACACCTGTTCCGGATATATGGAGAATCTTACTACCCATATCACGAAGGGGGCGAAGAAATTAGGACTGTGTAAAGGATGTTTCAAAGTTGTGTAGTTATCTTGATATGAATATGGACAATAAATTATGTCCAAAACGTAATCCAGTAAACAATACTGTTCCACTGTGTGACACATCTAATAAACAGACCAGAATGAAACTACATTCTTCGTGGTTTTGCATATTGCCCTGGCCATGACTCCATCTTCAAAGATGTGATTGTATTGCTCCTTTTGAGATAATTTCTACTGGTTCATCAGGTTACTGCTGTTTCTGTCATAAACTCTAGGTCAAAGTTGAGCCTTAAACGCTTGCGTCATTAAGAGGTGCTTTCCAATGTGTTTTTATTTGAACAAGGTTTTTCTTGAAATGCTTTTTAAAGCAGAAGCTCATCAATGTTCACATTTGTTCTTACGTTGGCTTACTTCTCTGTGGGGATATGGCTCATTGTCTTGAACTTTTAATTTTTGAATAATGAGTTCTGCACTCTAATCCTGATCCACCGACTTCAACTTTGGCAACCAGTTAGCATCATAAGTGCAAGCAACAATAAGTGTCGCACATAGCGTCGCTACGTAAGCATTTAGTATGTTAAGGTGCATTATTATTATTATTCATTCAGTAGTCTCAATAAATGTGTTACAAATTTGAAATCCCATTGCACTTCAATGAGCAGTGAAAAAGTAGTGTCTACTTCCTTACAGTCACTGGGACTTCTCTCTGAATTAATCGACTCTTGTGTAAGCACAGAGTTTTGATATAGTATGCCGTTACATAGTTCAGATATTCAGCTCATTCATGTAGTTTATAGTTTTTATGGAGGGGAAAAGGTTGTTTTACTTAAAATGAGCTGCAAATATAGGTAAGTAAATATTGTCATAATATTAACTCATTTGAATTTTTTCATTTTCATTTTATCCCATATATACATTTAGGTCAAAGTATTTTATTATGTAAACCAAAAGATTTAGGACGTGTACGTCAGTTGGTTGCAAATGGAATGCCACCAGTAAATTCATGTTTAATGGGTCAAGGAGGCAGTCCTGAATCTAGCCTGAAACGTGCTTTACTTGAAGTATGTTCACTAATATTTTGAGTAATCGCCTGAATTTTTTGATGAGTAACTTTTACGTAAATTACCGACCATATCGAGAAGTAGTTTATATGCCCGCTCATTCGCTGATGCGCCGCAAGGGATTATTATTATTATTATTATTATTATTATTAGTCCCTTGACCGCAAGGGATATATATATATATATATATATATATATATATATATTCACATATCATTAATGAAACCCTGTGACATTTTGGCATGTAAATAAGCTTTTCCAAATTACTTAATTTAACCTGGATTGTCAACAACAAAGTTTCAGGGCTAGACTTTGCTTTAATCCTCTCTTTTTGACGACTATACAATCCCTTGGCAAAAGTCAGATGTCCATTAGGTCAGGAAGAAAAGAAAAGGCGAATCAGCGAAGAAAATTTCCTTTTCAGTGAATTCGCTTGTTGAAGTTGTACAATCATATTTGTAAAGATTGCAAGGAAATAACAGTCTGCCGTAAATCAATAGGATTAGGTGATTACTGTGCTATTGTCAAGTGTAAAATAAAAGAGATGATTCTGAAACAGGAAGAAATTTCTCAGTAATACATTATTAATAAGACTATGGGGAAAGGAGAGATTGAACGTATTACTTCTGTATATGAAAGTGAATAGGCACTATGCAGAATATACGAAATCGTACTATTTGAGCCGTTTGCTGTTACTTTGTTGTAGTCCATAATTCGAACTGACAGAATTAAGTGACCAGAATAGACTAGGTGGTCAAGAACTGAACTAGTGACTGATTTACATTTCCATCCCAACAGCCATGCAAGTTGGAAAGTACGAGCTTTGTGCGGTTGATAGATACAGCTAAGCTGCACAGGAGCCAACCCCCATTGAGATGACGCAAAGAGGTAGCTGGTCCTTAGCGCATTAAGGAGTTATTTGTCGACTGAAGGTGATCTGTAGTTTGGCGGCAAACGATGTTTTTCTCAGTATTTTAACTGCAGTATCACTCATCAAATTAACATTCATAGATATGGCCCCCTTTAGAAATGTATGGATTCACTTTTTATGTTGCTTAAATGCATATCCATTCTGTCGAAGTTTATTCAGTTCACCATCAACTGTCTTATGTGTTGATTGTTCTGATTCTTGATGACAATGAATCAATCAGATTTCTCTTTCTGTTTTTGTTTATGTTATCATGTACACGCCGTAAGTGAAGATGTTACTACATGTGTTGCAGCTTTTTCTTTTTTTGTGAGCAAGTAGCAGATAGCAAGGGACACCAAAGTTTGGTTTTGAATAATGGTATTTCAGTTCAATTTGCTACATTTCTTTGGAAAAGTAGATAGAAACAGAAGTGAGTAACTTGATAGCAACAATCGTAATACATACTAATTTTTCCCGTCAAACCAGATTATCAGTCGGAGACTTGATACACTGATATCTGACAACTCCAAGTTACTTTAACTAAAATCATGCGCTTTGGCCAAGTGCCAATGCAAACCAGTTCCCAGTCCTAACAGGTTGTGGAATGATAAGTAAGAGGTGTATCCCTATTTGACTGGTTTCTGGGAAAATGGTCTGTTTATTTGTACTCATCACAGATTTGAGTATGTGAATGTGGCATTGATAAATATGGAGCACTGAGACAGTACAGAACACTCCGAACTGCGTAATAGATCGACCAAAAAATACCTTCATGCAGACAAAGTATTCAATCTGGAACCTAACACGTAAGTCTATCACTGTAAGTTCCCACGCTTCATAGAAACGAACAAAGAACAAGTGGATAGAAGAAGAATGATATTAAGGCAGGAGAGGAGATAAGAGGAGACAAAGATTCAGGTTCACGAAAATATTCCAAACCAGAGATGACAGGGAGTGTATACATCTGCACCATTGTGACTGATTTCCAGCATGTCGCTGGAAATCTTCAACCATTGATTCTTATGGTCTTGAGGATCTCCTAGCCGTTCTACTCCTGTGTACATGATTCAAACCAGCAGTCAGAGACTGCATGGACTGATGCTGAGTGTTGGTTTGGTCAGCCTTAGTATCTTTCCAACTTAATTCTGCTGGTTATGGTTCACCATCTCATTACCTCACCTAGTACCTTACTCCTAAACACATCACCAATACGGTAGTTCCACTACACGTGAACAATGCTTCAAAGGTTTCTCTTGGCCAAAAATCTGTAATCTCTTCATATCTTCTACTTTCGATGGCGATGTTTTACAACTGTATGATAGGATGGAGTATACTATTGCATAGTGTATTCCTCCTTTGATAGGTAGTTAGATGTCACGCTGAAATGGTGTAAGTTGGCTTAACGGGCTTTTTAAATGCGATATAAGATTTCGTCAACAATCAACATATTTGGACTAATGCAGCTCCCCAAGCCAATGAAATGATCAGTGTACTCCACCAAATCACTCCCTTTCTTAAAACTAGTAGTTGATGCATATTATTTCTGAAGTGTGGTTGGTACAAAATGAAGCTTGATTCGGTAGTTTGTCAGTCAAGTTTACAAGTAAACTATCCAAAAGAAGTAGAAAAGGCATATGAAAAGAGGAGGTGGATTGGTAGATTGTTCAATTGTAGATGCATGCGTATCTGTAGGATCTGTATCCTTCCCAGAAGTAGTATAACCCATTCTCATCAGTCACACTTCCATTATCTTGGAGATTCCAGCCAGGAAGACTGCATTTTCCAAAAGTAGCTCATATCAACAGTTATTTATTTTGTGGTTTGGCGCAATGTCTTTTCTGCCTCCATCTAATAGATATATTGGTCCAAAGATGTTTTTCGTTCACGCAACTGTGAATAGTCTGGCTGTATAAATGCAGATTTTCATCATTTCTCTCACAAGATTGAATATCAATTCAAAAAAAAATTTTTTTTTGTAACTATTTTGTTTCAGTACACAAAAGGAATTTGAAATTTCGTATGGCTAAGGCTTCAATGAACTTTAGTATGCGGTGATGCTTTCGTCTTGTAGGTGTGGTGATTAGACAAGAAACAGTTACCATTATGGTGTAAATTGCTACCCTGTGACGGGGGTCTGAGGGAGGAATCGTACTGGTGACTAAACGGGAGTGTGATAACAGTAAGGTGTTTCCCTTCGATGACGATCAGTTTCACGCTGATGCTAGCTTCCTTATGAGAAGTGAGGGGGGGGGGGTTAAGAAAAGTTCGACCTCAAAAATAGCACACTCCCATCGCCCTGCAGAATGCCGATGCCTGCAATAGAGATTCATATTCGGATTCCAGAGCTAAATCCCAAAATCTCGAACTTGCCAAAATGCCGTCTGTAGCCGGCCTCAAGCAGATGTGCTCTGGGCTCTGTGGTCACACACTATCCCTCTTTTAGTTACCTCAAGAAGAACTTATCTTCCATAATGTGGACAGCCGGGAAGTAACAACCGCCTGAACGCTTCAAGCAGTACACAAGACCCAATCCTGTCTTGTAAACGTGCAAATTTACTGTTTATAAGGCCGGTACCTTCACTATTTTTTGCGGTAGATGTGATAACACTAAGCTCATCGACTATCAACGCCAACATTATCATTCCGCTGTAATTATTATCAGTTGCTAAAATCTGCTTATTATTTTTTCAATACTTATTCTTAACAACACAGGTTATTGCAAATGGATTCGTGGAAACACTAGCTGATGCTTTATTGTATTTGTCTAGTACTCTATTAGCTACAACTGTTACTCAAGAGAAGCTAATCGAATTCAAAAATTCTAAATTATCTCCTTCCACAGGAGGCAGTCGACGTCGTTCTCTTCGTTTATCTCAAAATAAAATTGGTTCCACTGATGAAGTAACTAGTGTTAGGAATGATAATAATCGTTTCACTGATCAAATGAAGCACCTATTATTCATGTGTGTGAAAGATTTACAAAAACATGAACTCATCTACATTGACCGGTCTTCATGTTCAGATGGTGATGGTATGAATCTGTCAAATGTGGATGCGGAATCATCGGAGTCGTTATTGAATTATGCGCGTCTACAACCGACAGCTCTAGGAAGAGCTGTATTGTCTTCTTCTTTGGGTCCGGTGCATGGGCTAGTTGTTTTTGAAGAGTTGGACCGTGCACGTCGATCTATCGCACTTGATACTGAATTACATCTCGTCTATTTGGTAAGCGTAGTTTTTTCATTTTGTAAAATATACGTGCATACTACTTAATTACCCATTTTTCTCAGACTGTGTTTTCAAGCTACATTCACGTTCGTATATTAGGCAGCCAAAGCTATTGTTTGAAGGCTAATAATCCTACCTGACTACCTGGACCCCATTCAGTGGATCGGGGTTCGAACCCTGAACTGATAGGCTAAAGTTCTGTGTGTTTTATTTTTTCAGTCATAGTGACCTTTGTAGACGCTTATTTCCCCTGTCATTTAGCGGAACCGAAACAGTTGCTTTAATTATCCATCTAAAACTTGGTTGTCTGGTAGATGTGCAATTTATATAACTACTCTTCAAAATGTTAATAACTGATTTGGTTCAAAATTGATGACAATCGCCTACATGCATTTACTTACCATATTTCTCCGAATTCTGAACGTTCTGATTATCACTCTTCGTTTCCTATATCATATCCACCTTCTTATAGAATGTAATCTTTCTATTCATTTCTCCTATGCTTTTTTTGTGTGGCAGTTTGAATTAGTTCACCTTGGTTTTGAGTTATGTGTCACTGTGTCTCTCTGCATGTTATACATTCTTCAAATCTGACCATCCTTGTCAGAGCAGTTGGAATATTTTCTCTGAAACATTTCATACTTCTCATTTTCTTCTGTTTAGTAATAACCCAAATACTTTTAAGACTCAAGAGCACTCCATTTCAAACCATTAACTATTAGTAATTGAATTTTGAGGTAGTTGTGGGGATTCGGGCTCCTCAGCAGCGGACGAAACAGTTGTCCAATGTTCCCAGGTTTCCTTTGTTCCTCCAACTGATATGGGTCTACGATGAACAACAACTTGAAATATTAGTGACTGTCCTGTAGACCTGATTTAGCTCATTTGGCTTTACTCACAATGATGTAATCAGGTTATTTACTAGCTTCTACGAAATAGTTAAGAATGCTATTCAAACTATGTTTATTGTATCAGCAGTGAAATTGTCACCTGTTCGTATATAATTGGATTTTAATCGTCATTGCAAATCTGTGTTTGTCGCTGTAATTGATATTATTTGTATGAAATTCGTTTATGTATAATAAGCTTGTATTGTGTAAAAGCTAAGATAATTACCTAGAGTTTTATCACTCCTGTTCCAAAACTCTTTTCAGTTGACTCCTGTTTATCTGGATGTTGGTGCTGATTTAGATTGGCTTTGCTACTTGGAACAATATCAGAGTTTATCTCCTGCAGAACGTCGAGTCGCTGATCTAATTAATATTGAAGAACGCTTTATTACAAGGTGTGCAGCTGGTGCTCCTCCAACTACTGGTGGTCGTCATGGTAATGTTAATGCGATCAACCGACGTTTAAGCCTACACAGACGTTTTTATACAGCTTTAGTGCTGTATCGTTTAGTCAATGAAGATGGTTTACAGATGGTTGCTAAAAGATTTGGTGTCAATCGTGGTCTCTTACAGAGTTTGCAACAGCAAGCTGCCACTTATGCAGGTGTGTACTTGTAAACACTTTTTGTCAGGAAGTAAAGTGCTAATTAGTGCTAACGTCTATATATCTTATGCGGTGTTTTTTCTGAGTCTCCTCATGTCATCAGTGTACAGCCCTATGCATAATCAAGTCTTTAAATAACCGGAATTTTTGTTGCATCTTTGGAATAGATCTAAGGGAAACTTGAATCTAAATATGCTACTATTGACATAAGAACATATATTTATTTAATATAAGGGTAGAACTTAGGCGCTGGGGCAGAATCTAACTCCATTTTAGTCTATTTTCTAGAAATGTCACACAGTGAAACAGTATCATTTACTGGATAACGTTTCAGGCACAATTTGTTGTCTATATTCATATTAGGTAACTCTACAACTTTGAGACATCCTTTATATAGTCCTAATTTTCTCTCCTTCTTTGTGATGACAAGGATAGTAGGATTTTCCATATATCTGGGACAGGTGCAGAATCATTTCTATTGCATGTATTTGGTGTCAGTTCAAGAAACAAAGATTCGGTTATCAATCTCTCCCTCCCTCTACCCAACGAAGTTAGTTGTTAACACTGTCGCTCTATCCTACCCTACTGTGTGATTGTGTGTAATTACGTGCAGAGCTATAGCCTAGCTTTTCTCTAAATTTCTTACCTTATTAGGATTTACTAGTCTTGATTTAGCTAAGTTTTTGTGCTCTGTTATTTTAATCGATCCTGGTTTACCGCTTTGATCCATGTATTTGACCTCGCAATCATCATAAGGGATTTGCTAAACCAGATTATTTTGCTCAACTGCATCGATAGGATCTTTTAACCTACAAAGCCAGTCTTATTGAAAATCCTACATAATATGTGGGAGGTGACTTCTTTGTATTGTAACACAGTAGAGGCTTTGAATTCTCCTCACCCTGTCACTATTATCAGCAGACCTATTATTAATAACACCTACGTTACTGCTACTACTTCTCATATTTTTCGTTCGACTTCTTATGAATTTATTTATAAATTTAGGTGGGTAATTATTAGGACCCTAAGTATTCTTGGTGTGTCTAATTTCTTGTCATAGGTTTTCTGTCCTATTAGTGAGATTTCCGCCCTATTACGTAAGCATTTAACTGAGCCTACTTTAACTAAGATGATTTGAATGGGTAGGCTTCCTATGGAACCATCTTGTTCTCGTTTATTCTTGCAATCCACCATTACCAGCACACCTTCATCCCTTTCTAAGACCATAGGTAAATTGGATTGCATTCAGTACCAAATTTATGTGTCAAAAACCTATTAATATGCTTCTATGTCAGTACTGTAAATATGTCACCTACATATTTAAAGTATATCTTTGGAGTCGAAATGAATGTTTGACGGGTCATCCCCTCCCAACTATACATAAATATGTCTGCGACGGTAGAGAGGATATTGGTGATCCTGTGGCAACACCCTTAGTTTGTTTATACATTTTATTTTGAAACTTAAAAGCTATAAATGTCAGGCACAATAATACTCCTAGCATGATTTCCTTGATACATATATATCATAAAATTTGTGTTGGTGTTATTTCTATGTCTGACGTTGATTCTTTTGGTTATAGCCTCAATAGATGCTTTAGGACTGTCAGGGTTGTAGATACAGCTTGACAGTTATTACACAAAACTTCACTTCTCCGATTCGTATGAAAAACTGGTCAACATTTCACCGCCTATATTGTCACTGTGTGTCATCCACCGGTATGATTTTGATTGGGATCAATTACTAGTTCTCATTGTGTAACCGATTCACGCTTACTGCACAATAATTTATGTACTAATATACAGCGTGGACATACGATTCAACAGCATGTGTGTAAAGTATCAAAGTCCTAAACCAAATCTAATGTAAAAAAAGAAACTAAAGCTTTTTCATCTTTTTCTATCTTTATAGGTATGGTCACTATCTTTTGTAATCGTCTTGGTTGGAGTCATATGGAACGTATAATAGCTAATTTTCAATCTCGTCTTTGTTACGGTGTATCTGATGAACTTGTTGACTTAGTACGTTTGCTTCCTTTAGTCAATGCTGAACGTGCTCGTGCGTTATATGCAGCTGGTTATACTCTGTATCTTCACTGGCTACTGGACGTCCTCAAGATATTTCGAGGGTTTTACAACGTGCAGTGCCTTTTGAACGGTAAGTTATCATATTTGCACGGATTTTACAGTATCATTATTCTTCCTTTAAATCCACCCATTGAAATATTTAGGTAGCTTCTGTTTTAGTTGAATTTAGAAGTAAGATTAACAACATTTAAACTTTGTATCAGTAATAGTCTTGAGTATGCCTCAGGTTTATGTATAAAATTCATGAATTAGTATAAAACGGTCATTAATGATTAATTTAACATATATCAACTTTAGTTAGAAGCCATTTTTGTATCTGTTTATTAGTTCATGATACATTAAAGCGTAACTTTAGGTACTTGGTCTGTCATATGCTGTGTTAGTGTTCTTTGTTGTCGGATTTGTCAAAGGGCGATAGGATAGACAGTAGTTGACCGTATAGTGCTGTACTGAGTTCAATAAGGATTGTATCCTGCGTGCACTCGAAGTGAAATTGAAGTGAACTCAGCAACTACATCCACGTTCGTGAAGTAGGTAGTGTATGCTGGCTAATTATGGTGGGAAAGGGGTTCGAATCCTCGACCCACTCGTTGAATGTCGAGTTTCTAAAACATTGAACCACAACCACATGTATGCGCTATATGTTGTATTTTAAATGGCACATTTATTGGTAGCCTAAACCGCCAAATTTGTTTCTGAAATATAAAAGCAAAGTTTATACTCTGAATTTTGTGTAATACCTGTTATTTGGGAATCTAAAACATCTTGATAAATTGTTGATTTAAAATCGAATATATGAAGCAGCAGTTTATAAAACTCAACAACTACGTATACTTTGATGTACCAAGCTGTAAATCACGTGTTACATGTATTGTATATGTGTAACATTTGAATGTAATATACGTCTACTTACATTGAAGTAACACAAGTGGATTAGATCACCATGACAAAATATTTACAAACCTAAATATATTCTGGTTGGAAATCAGTAAGTTTTAGCTGGCTGCATCAGTCAAGTAAATGTAATTCTAGACTAAAGATAAAGAGTGCTCCATGAATGAAGTATACTGTTTACCATTTTGTGATATTTGAATTATTGTTCATTTGATTTTGCTTCTGCATACAGGAAATCCTCATTGCATTAGACATTCACTGCTTCAAGAATGTTATTTACTTGACATTGCCTGGATACAGAAAGGCCGTTTGGCACTTGTCAACTTGCTGTTTGGTGAGATCTCCGACTATCTATCAAAGGACGAGTGCACTGCGTTGCAGACTGTTCTTTCCTGCTATACGGTCGGGAGATATGGCCACTAAAATTAAAAAATACGAAGCGGTTAGCATTTCTCCCGTACCGTGGGATCATCATGTAAACAATGTGAAGGTCAGGTGAAGGGTGCTACGCAAGGAATGCAAGTCAGTCAGTGAGGTTATAGACCTTCATCAATTGAGGTGGCTTGGGCATGTATTGCACATGCTGACCCCACCCCCTGCCTACCTCGACGTTGTATGCTGGAGAAGCTGGATTAGGTTGGAATAGGGTTCAAGATGGTCAACCTAAGACGCGATACCAGTCGATTAAGTCACCTGACTGTTTGTCTGAGCCGTGTAAGGAGATGTAAACTGCTTGGCTGAGTTCTTCTGGACGATAAGAATCAATGGTTGCGAACTCTTGGTGACGTGGCTATAAATCGGTGACAATGGTACAAATGTATTCACCCTTTGATTTCTTCTATAGCTCAGGTGTTTTGATTAGCTTTAACTTTTAAATCATCTCTCCTTCCATACACTTTTGTCTACTTTGGTATCACTCTTTTTCTAGACACGTGTTCTTTGTATACTACTGTGAAGTGTGACAAGTTGGACCGATGCATCGGTTCTATGCACCGGTTCTACGTTGACTTTGTCTGGCTATTTGTCATAACACATTGATAGGATTTTGTCTAATGGATGACTTTTCAGGCAAAATTTATTCCACTGGCTTCAAAGCTTATTATTATTATCATTATTATTTATATGATTTTCCAAGAATTTGTCATGGCTTTGGTGACAAATTATGTGGGACATAAAAATTCTTGAAGAAGTATGTTGTTCGCCTTATCGATATATCCCTTGATGATATATCTATAATTTGCTATACGTAGACAAATGAATTAATTGAGGACGAAAGTAAGTGTTACCTAATAACAGTTGAGTTGTTGAAACAACTAGCTGGGAATTTGAGAAATCTCCACCAGTAAGTTTCGATCTAGCAACTTAGTATTAACTTTTTTTTGTTGTTGAGAGGTCCGATTCACTTGGGGGCAAACATATCCAGTACTTAGGAGTAGTGGAATCACTTGATCAATGGTTTATTACCTACTATGGTTAATCAACTATTATCGTTTTGTCACGAAGTTTATTGTCAAAACTCTTTTTTCGACCTTTTGTTTACAATTACACAGTAGTGAGAATTGTATGAATGCAGTATATCGTACCATTCTACTGGATGATGGTCGTATAATTAATGAACAAGAGGTTGGACCAATAATTGTGGAACAGGCAAAGAAGTTGTTAGAAATCGATTTAACTTCAGTCTATGGAAGAGATTTAATTATTCTATCCAAAAGCGATGAAAGATTAGGAAAACCTAAAGAATGTTTAATTGTCAACTCACCAAGTGCTGTTGACGTTCAAAATGAGAGGCATTCATTAAAGAATAGTCAATCAATGATAAAAAATACACATTGTAATAATAATAATGATAATAATAATAATTCAGTATTGGATAACTTGAATGAAAATGACATTAAAATGCTTAATACTACTACTGAGGGTAGGAAGCGTTCGTATTCTTCTGCAGTTGAAGATTTTGAAGTGAAACATTTTAAATTATCATTGGAAAGTGCTGTGCATACACCTGTGATGACAACAAAAATAGCAACAATGAGTACCACTTCTACTGCCTACACTGAACCAGTATGTCATAATAACTCTATTCTCAATCCTTACATTGATGCAGATAATCTCGATGAATGTAACAGTAATCAGAATTATAAATCGCCTAGCAAGGTTAATAATGATCACAGCGTAGTGTTGAACTCTCAGGTTTTGAATGTGGAATGTGATAAGTCTATTCATCTTCATGATACAACTAGAACATCAAAAGATTTTGAAAACTTCACTGAACCCAGCCAATCCTTTATTTTGACTAGTCAACTAGCAGCTATTGTTGATAATCAATTATCATTGGTTAATACACAAGCATCATTATGCTTAGGGAATACATCTGTTACCTCTACATCTCCTGTACAATCCAATAGTGTAAATTTATTTACAATACCAGAATCTTCAGTTTTATCAGTGTCGTTTACCGAGAAACCGTGTGATTTAAATGAGACATTTACATTTTCAATGTTTGAAAGTTTCATTTACTGTATCCAATAACGACAATGATCCTCTCAACAAAATAACAATTGAAACACTTCGACGAAAAGAAGAAATAATAATGCATGATAATAATGATTTAAAAACATTACAGAATTTAATGATGGTAAACATACTAGTTATTCTTGTTTAATTGTCTTACACTGTTTGTTTTTTTTTTCGTTAAATTTTAATTATTATCATCAATGGTCATCATTTACTTCAATACGCTGTAATAGAAAGACAACTACATATTAAAGCGATAACCGTTTCGTAAGCTGTTAGTTGCACACGTTTGGATCCATTAATAGGAAGAAATGAACATATGATGTCGACTAATTTCATTTGTGGAGTTACATCAGCCCAAATGGGCTGGTTGCTGACGAAAGCTGAGCTCAGATATCGAAGGCCTGTCTGGCATTTTCAATTTGCATCATCTGTGGCGCCAACTGGTGAGATATCCCACTATCTATCAAATGACAAGTATACTGCGCTCTAGTCTGTTTTTTCCTGTTATATGGCTGTGAGACGTGGCCGTTAAAAATAGAAGACATGTAGCAGTATCTTCGTAGGATTGTTTGCATCTGATGGAATCACCGTGTCCCGACGGATAGCTGCTACCTTGACGTGGTGGTCGGGCTTGCATATCACAATGACCCAACGAGCTATGCTGGTGGAACGCTTGTTCCCTCGAGGTCCTACCATACCAGAAAGGTCTGTTGGATAGTGGTTAGACGAAAAGCAGTTACCGTTATAATGTAAATTGCTACACTATGATGGGGGTCTGAGGGCGAAATCGTACTGCTGCTAGCTGGATGGGGTGTGACAGCAGTAGAGTGTTTCCCTTGGATGACCAGCAGTGCCATGCTGATGCTGCCTTCTCAGTGGAAGGGGGGGTTAGAAAAGGTCGGCCCCAAAAATAACACACTCCACCACGCCCCACGGTCTGCCGGGCCGGCGGTGTTGGTTCACTTGTCGTTTCCTTTCGCCCATCCGGCCCCAAAAATACAAAAGTTCAAAATAATCATACTCAAAAGGCTGGGTGTGACAGGCCTCAAGCAGATGTCCGATGGGCTCTGCGGTCACACAAATCTCTTTCAGGTACCTTAAGAAGAAATAGCCTTCCACGGTGTGGGCAGCCGGGAAGTGTCAACCGCCCTCACAACTCTGTCAGCACCCAAGTTTCTTCTGACTGCTATCCTCCTCCTCCATCATTACCTTCTAATCTTCCTTCACGTCTCTTAATTAATGATGCTGCATCATCTTCAATTTCTCCTACCTCTGCAGCCTTCGACAACGATCTGAGTCCACAGAACAGCATCCCTGGTCTCCTTAAACCACGCTCCAAATTACATATTGGAGCCTTCAATGTCCGCACCCTCCGTCAAATTGGCCAACAGGCTTCGTTGGCAAAGACTCTAGCAACTCGGGGCATGGATGTGTGCTGTGTTTGTGAGACACGCATACAGGACCCAAGTGCGGTTATTCACCTGACCTCTCCTGACCAATCTGGTGAATCTGCAAAATTCACCCTTCGAGTTTCTGGAGATTCGATAGCTAGCTCTCGTGGTCTTGCAGGTGTAGGTATAGCATTAAGCACCAGGGCAGAAAACTCACTACTAGACTGGATCCCAGTTGATAGTCGCCTCTGCGCTATGAGGCTAAACGGCACAGTGAGAACTAAAAGGAATAGTGAGACTCGCCGTTGTCTCTTTGTAATCTCTGCTTACGCACCCACTGACTGTAGTTCGGATGAAGTGAAGGACGAGTTCTACCATAAACTGTCTAACCTCCTCTCGAAAGCCAAACGTTCGGACGTAGTGGTTGTTGCAGGTGACCTCAACGCACAGGTGGGTAGACTGAGTGAGGCAGAAAGGCACTTAGGTGGCACTTTCGGAATCCCAGCTGAACGTACAGATAACGGTGATCGCCTATTACAACTATGCTCAGATAACCGCCTATTTTTAGCCAGCACAAATTTCAGACATAAAGAAAGGCACTGTCTGACCTGGCGTCCACCGAGCTCGACTCAGCGATGGACACAGATAGACCACATTGCTATTAGTCATCGCTGGAGAGGATCGGTGGAAGACTGCCGCTCCTTCTGGAGTACGTGTTTGGACAGCGATCATGCGTTGGTCCGAGCACGTATATGCCTGCGTCTCAATGGACGTAGAAAAAATTTGGCAACAAAACCACTACGAGTTCTGCTGGACAACGAAAACACCAAAGCCGTGTTCAGTGAGAAGTTGGCTAGGCACAAAACGGTCACTCATCCAGAAGAAGCTTGGTGCCATCTTCAGTCTACTGTAAAAGCAGCACTGGAGACTGTAGCCGACTCCAAGATAATGGCTAAAAAGAGCCAGTGGATATCAGCAGCTTCTTCCAAACTAATGGATGCACGTGAATGCATCCCTGCAGGCTCTGAGTACAATGAAGAGCGAGCGCAACTTAAAAATAAACTGACGAAAAGTCTGCGCAACGATCGTGAACAGTGGTGGGCAGCAAAGGCTAAAGAGATGGAAAAGGCAGCGGCGATCGGTAACAGTAGACAGTTATTTAGACTTATTAAGGAGACTGGGGGGAAATGGTCAACAACAGTTAGTGAGGTTATAGCGGAGAAGGACGGATCTGCGATTCACTCGCAGGGGAGGCGACTGGGACGATGGGCAGAACACTTCGAGGAACAGTTTAACTGGCCTCCAGCCACGATTGCGCTGCCCGCTATCCAGTCGGACCCTGAATGGGACATAGAGACAGGTCCCCCAACACTAGAAGAAGTTGAGAAAGCGGTAGGTAGCCTGAAACGAGGAAGGGCAGCAGGACCAGACGGACTACCTGCTGAGGTATACAAGAATGGTGGTAGAGTTCTCTTAGTCAGGCTAACGGAAGTGTTAGCCAGTATATGGGAATCAAATACGATCCCCTCCGACTGGTCTAAGTCACTCATCATCCCAGTCTTCAAGAAAGGCGAGAAGTCCTCTTGTGATAACCACAGAGGAATCAGCCTGACAAACATAGTGTCTAAGATCCTAAGTTCTATAATTCTCCGACGCCTGAGTGGAGCTCGGGAACAGCAAGCCCGAGAAAACCAGGCAGGCTTTAGACCTGGCCGTGGATGTATCGACCAAATATTCACACTGCGCCAGGTCCTGGAACATAGGCATGCTTACAGACGCCCGACAATAGCTGTATTTCTCGACCTGAAGGCGGCATTTGACTCCGTTGATCGAGAAGTCTTATGGCAGTGTCTGTCACTGAAAGGCGTGCCTAGTAAGTACATCACCTTATTGAAAGCTCTCTACTCGAACACTTGTGGGCATGTTAGAGCCTATGGTGAGTTGTCCAGGGAGCTATACTCATCAAGTGGTGTCCGTCAAGGATGCCCACTATCCCCATTCTTATTTAATTTTATCATAGATATTCTTATGGAGGTTTCCCTCTCGTCACCTAATTACACAGACGTTGACCCGATCACAGGTGAATTTTCCTTAGATCTAGAATATGCAGATGACATAGTCCTGTTAGGTGAAGACGCTGACAAGATGCAGAGTCTTCTGAACACTTTGAGTGGGAATTTGAGAATGTTTGGGATGCGATTTTCACCACCCAAATGCAAATTTTTGCTCCAGGACTGGTCTTCAGCGGTACCGCGGTTAACAATAGAGAGTGAAGTGTGTTGACCACTTCACTTACCTGGGAAGTAGGATCAACCCGGTGGGTTAGTTGCCGATGAGATTTCTGCACGGATACAAAAGGCTCGATTGGCTTTTGCCAATTTGCGCCACCTATGGCGCCGCCGTGATATTCGTTTGTCTATTAAGGGTCGCGTGTACTGCACAGCAGTCCGCTCTGTTCTACTGTATGGCTGTGAAACATGGCCATTGAAAGTGGAAGATACAAGAAGGCTTCAGGTGTTTGACCACCGTTGCCTTCGTAGTATAGGACGTATTCCGTGGTGTCACCATGTGAGTAATGCAGAAGTTAGGTGTAGAGTTTTAGGGAGAAGAGGTAAGTCAGTCGACGAGGTTGTGAACCTTCATCGACTGAGATGGTTGGGACACGTACTACGTATGCCTAGTCACCGATTGCCTCGTCACACAATGTTGGCTGAGGTGGGTTCAGGCTGGAAAAAGGCCCGAGGTGGCCAGACTAAAACATGGCACCAATGTATGAAGTCTCTGACTGTTGGTTTAAGCCATGTAGGACGATGCAGACTAGGTGGTTGGGGTCCACGGGACAAGAGGAACCAGTGGTTGGAGACCCTAGGTGATATGGCTCAGAACCGAAGTCAGTGGCGCAGATGTATACACACATTATCCTCATCTTAACAACGCTATACCGAATCTCACTATTTTGTCACTCCTCTTTCCTTTCTTCTCGTACTTTATATTTCTTTTGACTGCATTCACTTATCTTCATCCTTCACCTCACTACCTTTTTACTTGATGTGCTGATATGAGGTGTGGCAACTCGGACCGTTACGCAGTAATGCCTGGTCCTATGTTGATAATGATGATGATGATGAATCACCGTGTGAGCAATGTTAAAGTCAGACGAATGGTCCTAGGCAAGAAAGGGAAATCGATGATGAGGCTGCGAATCTTCATCGACTGAAATAGCTTGGACGTGTACTGTGCATGCTAAATCACCTCCTACCTCGACGTGCCGTGTTAGGGGAGGTTGGATTAGGTTGGAAAAGGATTTAGGATGGCCACACCAAGACCTGGCACAAATCAATGAACTCTCTTATTCTTGACCTGAGCCATGTGGATGTAGACTACTTGGTTGTGGTCTTAGAAACTATGCGAATCAGTGCTTGAGAACTCTAGATGAAATGACTGAAAATTGGTCACGATGTCCGTAGATGTATTCACTCTTCGATATTTTCTGAAGCCTGGATATTCGTACTGACTTCTATCTTCAAATTGCTTTTTTTACTTTAATATCACTCTTATTTCTAGCCACTTATTCTTTATATTCTTTTGTGAAGTGTGGCAATTTAAACCGATGCATTTGTTTGCCAGGTTCTGCATAGATTCTGTCTATCTGATGCATCATGCTAGTATCGACTCCGGTTCATGAAATCCAGCCGTTGGATCTCCGGAGACTAGTTGAGTGAATTGAGAGGATTCGCCACACTGGCTATGATAGGTCAAGTGCATCATAACACGTTGGTCCCGCTTGTTTGTGTCATAAACACAGCACATATCTATGGCTAGAGATTCCATAGTTTGGCGATATACACCTGCTGTCTGACTCAGCGTTAGATTAGGACTTAGGAAGCCCTTGTGTGAAATCGGCAGTGTGGTTTAAGGAGGCTAGGAATAGTGTTTTGCTAGCGGGGATCTTTGTCAAGGGGCGTAAAAGAAGAGATTGAGGGAGTTGTAATTGGTTTAATATTGCTATGAGAAAGAGAAAGCAAAGGAGGAGATAAAGGTTACGTAGGTTGGGTTCCGTATCTTGGTGGTAACATGAAGGCGGTTGGAGGTTCTTGGCTACCTACATTCCTGGAAGTTGTTTCTGCGATGTAGTCTGAGCAGGAAGAGATATTGATTTATCATGAGCTCAGAGCTGAAGCGAAATCTTTCTTGAGGGGAGCAGGGAGTCACATTCGATCTCTATTAGAAGGTTAGGTTGATATTTGATTGTGCTACCTCTTTTGGCACCGGAATGAAGCGGGATAGAGAGGAGTGTGCTGCTTTTTAGCGGTGACCTTTCCTTCAGCCTCCGTTCTCACTAAGTAGGCAACATCAACATGATACTGCCGGTCATCCATGAAAAACACTTTGCTGTTGCCAGGCTCCGTTCATCTAGCAGTACAAGTCTTCCCACGGGACCCCACGGAAGCGTGGCTGCATGCACTATGCTTATAACTGTTTCTCGTCTTTCCACTATCTAACAAATCTTCATGGCCTGGTATGACCTCCTGGAACAGGTGTTCTAGTCAGCGTAGTTCGTTGGGTTATTGTGATATGCAAACCCGACCAAAACGTAGCCGCTGCCCAGCAAGTATCTCTTTGTAAGCAGTCTTATCATGATCATTTATGTTCTACACTTGTTTTGTTTTTGTTCTTCGTTTTTTACGCAATGAAATTCGTTTGGTTGCTGTATTTTGGTTTTGTGCGAAATCCGTTTTGCATATAATCATGTCTCTACAACGCTTTTTTCCTGTAGTGTTCCTGGTACATGTGGCGGTGTTTATAGTCGTTTGATAGCGGTGTTTAGATGTTGTTTGAAATACTTGTTTCCAGTTGTCGTTATTGGGGAGCACCTTCTATGGAATTTAATATTTAGTGAGCTAGTGTTTTTTTTGTTCTTTCTTTCCTATTAGCTTTATTGTTTGGCACGAGTGTATAAGTTATTTTGAGATGATTGTATGATGTCAGCTGTCATGTAACATCGTCTGATAAGAAGAAGGTCTTTTAGGACATTCCAAAGTGAATTGAAAAAAGTTTCTGTGAAAGTATATGTAGTGCTGTTCTGCACAATCTTTACTGATTCCTTATCATGCCATCTATTCTGAAAACATCGATTGCGGCTATCAGGAGGACGGTAGCATAGTATTTTCCGTATCCTTGCGTAGTTGATTCAAACCATAAAATCTTGTTTTTATCGCTTTTTTTCTGCAGTTTTTATATTGTGGTGGTTCACTTGGCAATCTTATATGGAGTTGAAATATTATTTCTAAATGCATTTGATGAATTGGTATACTTATACCCATCAATTCCATCATGTAGTGAATCGTTTTGTTATTTCATTGGTACTGAAGGTTTTGACTTCTAATTCAAAAGTATGTAGTTTGTTACTTCTCTTTTACACATCTTAGTCTTGAAACAAACTCTAACTGACCAATTTTGAACTTATTATTTTAATATCCAAGAAAACTTATGTTGAGTTTCGTGTCTACTTAAATTGTTTTCCAGTAAGCAACACTGATTAATGAAAATATTCGGCATTGCGTCGATCATATTCTGTATATGTCTAGTTTCCTCGAATAGTCATAAACTTTTTTCTCTGATACCTTTAAAATATGATGCATAAACCAGAGTTTCAGATAGTGTCAAGGAATTCCAACGTGTTTTATCATTATAATTCTTTATTCTTTCTCTCTATTACTTTAGTCACCGATCACTTCTGACGCTGATGTAAAAGAAAAGAGGGAAGCAGTCCTCCCCGATCAGTTCGAAACTCATCTATCCACATCTTTTAGTGTAAATGAGCTATCCTTGAATGTAGAGAGAAGCATAGGTGATTTGTTCAATTCTTCATTCACGTCAGATTTACCAATGAACAAACAGTGCATAGAGCAGTAAGTTGTTACCAATGCATATTGTCGAATACATTTTGCTTTCTTTTTGATTATTTTATGACTAAATAGCGATTGATGACCTTCGATACCATATTAGTGGATATTTTCGAAACCCATTCTTAGTGGATATACTGACTACTATTATTATTTTTTAATGTCCATCTAAACCTTCATAACACAAGTATGTAAATGTATCTAAATAACCGTGCTCGTGCTGGGGTACTATGTTTGAATTACTTATACTATCTATCTGTTCAAACAGTAATGGTTTGGACTAGATGTGTAGCAGGAACTCACTGCTTCGTTTTGGTGGTGTGATGTTATCTGAACTTGAAAGTTTAATTGAGAAGCCTTCTTTGTCTTTCTCGATAACATAAGTAGAACAAACTTCAAACAGAAGTGATCCGTACGAATTTCTCCATAAGTGACTCGGTAGCTTGTCCTGATAACCTTGTTTGTGATTCTTTGTTTTCACGACAATGTTGACATCATCTGCGCATGTATTTCGAATAGCTGTCGTACTGACTTAAACTCTGAACCTCCTACTGTTTGCTGTATCTTTTTTTTGTTTGATGAACCTAGTTGTTTATACGCCTATGGATCTCTGACTGGCATGATTGCAAAGCTTCTGAAAACCCTCTGGCATTCTTTGTATTTCCTCTATCCAAGATTTCCACATTTTCCTGGTCGAATTGTCGATGCGCATTTATATGAGCGAAGATATATCGTGACGCTTCGCTGCTAGTTGTTGTCGACAAACACGAAGAGGGTAGCTTCTCTGTTCTATATGGTGTTACTCACAGTTTCTACAAATAATTTGGTAGATAACCTTTGCCTTATGTTCTTTCATGGTTGTGTTTTTAACCTATGTAACATGGAGTGGAGAGATCTTGTAGATTTTGGGCTGCAGCTATTTCCAAACACGTTATGTAGTTGCAATCTCAGACACATTTTTCGTGTAAGGTAAGACAATCCATCTGTTCATTTATAAGGTTTACCTTTTGGTTGATGGTATATTCGATAAACATCTTTTTATGAAGTTGTATGAATAGACATTCTTCCGAAAAGCGGTCATAAAATAGTTACTTTCTCTGATATACTGCATTTTGCCATTGCCCTTTTGGATGGTGTTTTTGCGTAACCAGTTTAGTGTGTTATTGGATTCTCGGTACTTTGATTGATAATGTGATTAGTGTGATTTATTTTCCTGCACACTTGAGTGTCCATTTTCGTGATTTGGTTCTCATGATCAGAGTTTGCTTCCTATGCATCTATAAATTTGATGTGGAAAAACGTTGAAAAGTTTGCAAGCTTTATCCAGTTCGTTCTGCTTCTTAAAAATCGTACGTATAACCCAATGAATCAAAAGATTATAAACCAATCGAATGGAAGTGACTTTAATTTTCTTAAACGTTTACCTAACTTCGTCTCTTTCACTTCAGTGAAAATAACTTTTTAATGTTACTTTATTCAGATTGCACTTGTGATTGTTGCTTATCACTTATTTTCTCTTGTGTTCCTTTTTAGAGATTTACTGTGCTCTCAAAATAGAAATTCATTTAAAGGTTTCAGATATGAAGCGAGTGAGTTTATTCTTGTTACAATGCCCTTCATAATTTTTGTCGTCTATGCTTACGAATGAATCGCATTTGGTAAGAACACATTTTTGTCTTTTTTTATTACTCGTAATTTCCCGTTTTTACATAGGGTTGAATTGCTTGACCTCTGTTGATGGATCGTCTCCTATACGAACGCCTCGATATTGTTGGATATTCATAATTTTATATTTATCTTGATAACTCGCAGTGGAATCCAGGACTCACGTTTCGTCCTTTTGGGGCTTGTCAGCTGCATTTACATGCACCTCAGTTGGAACAACATCACTCACCAGGGTGCAGGTGTGTCCAGCTGACGAGTCCAAAATAGGACGAAATGTGCGTCCTGGATCCCACTGGAATTCACCAAGTTGAAACAAAATCAAATTTTGTTCACACCCTTTTCAAATTTATTGAAAACTGAGTTTATTTCTGTGAATATCGTCCCTATGCTCATTCAGTCTAGTGTCAGTTGATTCGGGGAGGGGGGATGGTACTAAAAGAGGGTGGAATAAAATCATGCTGTGTAATGAAAGTTTGTAATATTGTTACATATTTTTGTAATCCCAGATAGTTAACTTTATTCAATCAAGTTAGTCGAAATGATACGAATATACAGTTCGAAAAAGACTCGAAGTGGCTTTTTAACTAAAATTCTAAGGTTGTCAATATCTATCTTAACATTTAACGGGATAAGTCAACACTAAAAATGTACGCCAAAATGAATTCGTTTTAGTTATGCCACACGGAAACTTGATATTCGCATATGAGGAATAAGCGTGACATGAAAAGGTTTACGCTTTATAAATCCTAAAATATCTGAGACATTGTCAGTTATACGGGGAGGTAGTCAGTCTCTTATTCGATAGGATATATTGTAATGCTTTCGAACTAAAGGTCTATCTTAATGTAGCAGTGTTCGGTGTGTTAAACATTCAGAAATTGTATATTTCCCTAGTATTCAGAATTGGCATGATAGTTTTACCGCTGCGAAACTCGTTGTCTTCGCATATTTAAAACTTTTCAGTGAAACAAATGTATGAAGATTCGTGGCTTTCCTGGTAAATATTATTGCTTGTTATTGTCAGTTTGGGTTATCGCATTTTGAACTAGAAAAGAGGACCGGAAACTAAGTGAAATGTAATTCTAACACCTTATTACTCAATGGTTTGTTTATGTGTTAGGGATCTGCTGAAGCTGGAAATATTTTGGTAACTGAATGTAAGTAAGGTTTATCTCTTCCCCTAACCTTTGTTAGCAGTGCTTGTATGCATATATGTATAGTTTTTGCTGGAATGAATTACGACATGGCTAAATATTTCCTCGAAAATAGTAGTTTATGGTTCATATACTGCGGAAGTGTATTGAAAATAGTGTAACTGGCAGCTAAAAGCTAATGTTTTACCAAAGGAACTCTTTTTGAAGGATTCATTTGGAAAAGACTGCACAATCATATGTAAACGTTATGTGTTTTTCGTTACTAATAGCGGGTTGTATGCGTGTGTATGGGAGAGCGAAAGAAAGAAAGAGGGAGACGTAGTGAGATAAAGTGTTCTCATGCTTTATGATCATATTGTTGAACACATAGTTTGTTAGTAGAATAAAAATGTAGAGTATAGGAGAATACTATTACTAACAATTCAGTTATGGTTTTTGTCGGAATTGATTACTTTCAAGGTGTTTTTCATCATAAATGAACCTTGTGAGTTGACAATTGGGATCTTTGGATTCCACGTTATTAGCTAAATAGAAACGTACTCGCTTCAAAAGTTGACGATTTTAGGCTTTATCCTTGACGGGGTTATAGATGCTCTTTGCTAAGAGATCCCCAACTGAGACGAGATAACTATCTAATGCTCCCGGGCTCTCAGTGCTTCTACTGGCTAACTCAGCGCTAATTACAGTTACCGCTCCTATCCAAATAACTAAACATTACTTAAGTGCAGTACATATTTGCATTTTCACTTTACGATCACATATGTTTTAAAAAACAACAACTTTTAGTTGACTAATTAATTTACTTTATTGGAGTTCTTAGCTTATCTTTATGATTGCTAGAGAAGGTGAGTTCCTGTACTGGTTCAACAATAATTAATACATGTTATTTCATCAATTCATAGGTACCAACATCCCATGGACTGATAGTTTGACTTTGAACATCTTGAAAAATAGTGATTTTGATGATCATGATGATGCTGTTGTTAAGGATGACTTATTCTCTATTATTGACGTAACCCAATCTTATTCCTTGTGGAAAATTTTTCTTGATGATTTGAATCAACGTATTGATGAAATTAGTTCAAAGCGGTCCGAGTTGAATTATATTGCAATACAGCCTGGTTGGCTTTTGAACATAAAATCGTGTAATAATGATGCGGAGGACCAAATGTGCAGTGACTTTTTAGAATGTTTAGCGTGGAAGTCTGGACCTGCAGGGTGTCCAGCTACTGGTGGTGGAAGAAATCTGTGCACAGACTACAACTTATACCTTGGTGGATTGTCGCTTTCTTCTTCCTGTTTGAGACCTAATGTTGTATTTTGGATTAATTTTCTTTCACAAAATAGTAAGTTATCTCACCTTTCCATGTCTTATTTTGCAAACTGTATGCTGACCCAGATTTTACTCTTGTTTTGTATGGGTAAAGCAGTCAATTTTCAAGCATTAGGTTATAGGTAGAAATTTGGTTCTGCCTATAGCAGTTGAGACAGTCAGTTCTTACACAGTGAGCCTAATTCTCAGACCTATTAAGTAAGATAGGGTTACGTTGACTAATACGTGCACTCCAAACTCTATCAACCAAGTTTACAATATGTTCACTGAGCTTTATATTCAGTAATTGCTGGTAGTTTGTAGAAAGCTCTTTATCTCGGTTTGCTTTTTGGTTTGTCATGAAGATGTGGGAATAACCCTACGGTAACTGATCGTTTCTCAGAGGTAAAGACCCATGTAACCTCTGCAATCAGAAAGGCACTAAAGCTACGAATGACCTTTTGTCTATCAGAAATTCCTACACCAGCTGGTCAATAAAGTATAACAAATTTCATTTTACTCAGTCTGGTAGTCTCTATCTCTCTCTGTTTTCCAATATCTTAGAAAGCATCATTTCATTTGAATTTACTGATATGCCTTGCTGACATTATTCTGGCTCCTCTCGAATATCTGGCAAAAAACTTAGTGATGGCCAAATTGTACAACCCTATGTGCAGTCAATTCACGATTTGAAAATCAACTGATTTATACGCACACGGGAAATTCACACATTACTGTTTCATAAGTTACTTGAAACAAATTCATTCTAATGCCTATTCAGATATCTTTCACATCCCATAAGTTAAATTGCTATGACTATGTTCACAAAATATTCTATCCTACCTATAATGTGATGCTGCAACATGTTGTGAACTGTATGAAAATACTTATCTGTATGAGAAACACAGCCATAAGGATTACCATTACTTGTGGGCAACGGATATAATTTTTTTTGGTCTTGACTGAAAACGTAGGTGATACAACAGCTAGCTAGTCACTATGATTTGCAGAAGCCATTTCGGAAGTCATAGTACAGGATGAAATGATAGCCCAACACAATTTTTCTTCATTCAATGTCCCACACTAAATGGGAAGTTGAGTGATGATGTTTTACGGTTGCCCATACTAAAGTGCCTTATTTTTATACCTATGAGCCCCTTTCATTCAGCCTCGGCATCCGAAAATAATATTTGGCATTAATGTCTTTGAACTAGGTAAAATATATAATGCTTATCGAAGTAGTAAAAGCTGATGTTTTGTCATGACTTCGCGTATAACCACATCATCATCATAATGCTCAAAAATATGTCATTGTATTTCATTGTTACGGAACCACGTGTCCGATAAATGTCAGCAACATTCTGTAAGCACTGGTGATAAAATATGTATGGTTTCTGAACATTCTCAGGAAAAATCTCAAATGTAGATAAGAATTATTATACACCCTATTCTTGACAGTCTGATATGTCTGATGAAGACATCAACATTGGATCACGTTGATACGTTCTCCTTTAGTTTATGGTCTCATCTTTTGCTTTCTCACTCACTTGCATACCGTACATAAAGTTGGGTAAAGTGACTCAACAATTTAGTATATACAGCTTATATAGTCTTATTACGCAACTTGTATGCGGTGGTTACTTGGTTTCGTAGTTGTAATGGCCTGAATAAAATACTGTGCAACAGTCTAAGTTAATTGTGTGCAATAATACTAAGGTAATCTTTTATTTAAATCGTCTCACCACGATAATTTAAAGTATATTGAAGCGTGAACCCAGCTTCTTTCTATCCATTGTGATATATGTTCACTTATTCATTCATTCAACTAGTAAATAAATCCAATTTTTGTTGTTAGCGTCAAGTTCTATCATTACCATTGTGAATTTAAAGTGATTGAAAAAATGCCAATCAGGTGAAAGAATTAATATAGGTGTAAAACTTGGGCACTGTGGTAACATTCAATTCCATATTAGATTTTTTCATTATTTGATTTATAACATACAGTGATCTAGTATTATTTACTTGATGACGTCTCGAGCATAAATTATCATTACTCGTAATCATATCAATGTAATCACACTACTCTCGACATTTGATTTTTATAGTTACGTCACTTTATATGAGTTGTTTTTATTGGTAGCAAAATTTTCCATATCTCTAGTATAGGTGTTGCGTCATTTCAATTACCATGTGTTGTATGTTGATTCGATGAACAAAGATTCAGTAATCAATCTCTCTCTCCACCTAATTATATTCGACTTAAGGTACATAGGCTTTATCCCACCCTATTGTGTGGTTGTGTGTTAATGCATGCATTAGCAATAGGCGAGTACTTTTCTAGATTATTGATCTTATTCAGGTCTGTTATTCTATATTTAGCTAAATTCCTATGTTCGGCTATTCTAACCGACCCCGATCGGTAGTTTGACCTATGTACTTGACCTCGCAGTTATTGCATGGGATTTGCTAGATTATATCATTTTACTTAGTTGGTTCTATCAGATCTTTAAGCCGACAAAGTTTATTTCTGAGTGAGTTTGTTGGTTTAAATGCCATCCTAATTCCAGCTTAGTTGAGGATCCTACGTAAAGTTTCTGATGTAACACCATGAAAGGATGCATTTTACTTTGGTTGAAAGAAGTCAAACGCATTAGGATTCATCGTCTTCAAGAAAATTTCATCAGTGAGATGTTGTGCAGTTTAGGATACACCCACTTTTCGTTGAAATCTTTTTTTTTAACAATAGAATGTGCATAGTTTAGTGAAATAACACTTACTTTCAATTATATTCTCTTCATGCTCCCCCACCTTCCCCTTTTTTTCTTTGCTTTTTAACAATTTTCTTCAAGATGTAAACCGAGTTCCAGTGAGTAAATGTTTAACGGATATTCATGATTTATTTCTTCATATTAGTCAACTCAATATCGGATTAATTGTATGGGATGTAAAATGGTGGTATCGAATTGTCTATGATTTGTTCAAGTTGCCTACTCGAATAAAATTCCAACTGTATGATCCAAATTTAGCTAATTGGTTAACAAATCCTGATTTCGGTCAAAGTTCTTTATTAAATGAAGCTAGAAAGTTGAATGCAGATGTTGTCAATGTGTTGAATGAAGTAACATCATTTGCTGAACGGCTTGGTAAGTGTAACTGTTGTGCTATTGTTGTATTATTATTCATAACCCCTGTTTCACTATAGATTCATTTGTAGATTTTTTATTCTCCGACTTCCACTTCTCGATTTACCTACTTATTATAACATCATCACTTTGACTATCTGAGATAGCCATGGTTTGGCAGACTAGTATTTATACTGGGTGGCAATTGAAGGTGAAATGAAAATTTAGATCGCGGTGGGATTGGAACCAGTGACCACCGGTTTTCTAGCCCGATGCCCTACCAACTGAACTACGAGACCCAACTGCTGATCAGATTTTTATTTCACTTCAATCACCATGGGTTTTACTCGGCAACCATGTGGATTCGTGACGTATTACTACCACTTGACCGTATTCATATTGGCTGTCCAGTCAGGACTTCTCGTCCCAGTCCAAATCTAATTGAATTAAGGTGGTTCGAATCCCACCGCGATCCAAATTTTCATTTCACCTTCAATTAACACCCAGTATAAATACTAGTCTACCAAACCATGGCTGTCTCAGATAGTCGAAGTGATAATCAATATGATGCTCCCCTCTCTAAATGAGTTAGATTTGGATTTGGATTAGAAGTCCTGACAAGGTAGCCGGTGTGAGTACGATTAAGCGACAGTAACACGTCACGAATCCACATGGTAGTCGGACAAAACCCTTGGTGATTGAAGTGACATTAAAATCTGATCAGCAGTCGCGTTTCGTAGTTCAGTTGGTAGAGCACCTGGCTGGAAACCCGGTGGTCACTGGTTCGAACCCTGCCGCTACCATATTTTCATTTTACCTTCAAATATTAGCCAGTATCAGTAATTCGCTAAGTATTGATTAGCATGCAAACGTCTTATTCAATGTTATTGAAACGATGGAGATCGATGTTTGCATGTTTTAAGCTGATTCAGACCAATGTTGACCTCAATGTAACAGATGCTTCCACAGCTTATATTCATCCAGGTCTTCGAAACGTGATTACATATCTTTGCCTTCTACATTCGCTTCAGTATCTTTTCTCTTTCGCCCCATTGTTTCTTTGTGCTCTGATGAGGTCATTGCTTCCATCGATTTTCTCTTCCTCTCTGTGTTTATGCGGAATATGATGTTTTGAAGTGATATACAATAAGACGATGTCTAATGTTGGTGTTGATGTATGTCTGTTGTTCATGCTTTTCTTGATCCTACGTTCTCCTGATATTTCGTTGGCGAGACCTTTTGCATTGGATTTCACATTACGCTTTATGAAAGTATTCTATGAACAGCTAATCCTACAATTTTCTAACACTACTTTATGTAATAGGTATAAGGGAATGATAATAATTCCCAGTGAATCACTGGTAAGAAATCTTAGGAAAAACGTTTCTTGATAAACAGACAGATAAGACCGACATACGACCAGAAATTTCTCTGTGGCGGTCGAAGTTACCACACCTGTCATCACATCAAACGAAAATTCACTAAAATGAAAGACTATTTAAACAGTCGATAACTTACACAGATTTTATTTTCTGAAGAAGCGATTTCCACGAAGTCGCGAGACGTCAGGAAATTATTTTTCTACTTCCTTGGGAGTTTACAAATATATTTCATTTACAATCTATTTACCCAATGCTCAAATTATTCAACTCTACCTGGTCAAGTTTTAATCCTGAAGTTTATAAAATAAAGAAGAAAGCAGTCAAGTGTGATAGATAGTAGTAAAAAGGAAGCAAACGAAAATAAAAGAATACCGAAATTCATTGTGATGAATAACAGGGAGGTAGTGTGTGGATGCATCTGTGGCACTGTGATCGACTCTGGACCATCGCTGGTTTCTGTTGTCACGCGGTCACGAAGTCTACATTTCCATACGCATCTCCGGCCAACAGTCAGAAACTACAGGGACTGATGCCATGTTTTAGTTTGATCGTCTCTAACTTTCTTCCATCCTGAACCTACTTCAGCAAGCATTGTGGGACGAGAGAGACGATGACTGAGCATGCATAACGCATGTTCAAGCTAACTCAGTCAACGATGCTTCACAACGCCTCATCAACTGACTTTCCTCTCCTTCTCTAAACATTGTACTTGACTTTGACGTGTTGACGCCATGGTACTCGGTCTATGTTATAAAAGCAACAGTGGTTAAACACCTGAAGTTTCCTCATCTCGTCTGCCTTCAATGATCATGGCACATAACCACATAGTAGAAGTAACTGAAGTCCAGTACACTCAACTATTGATGGGCAATCCGATATGACAGTGGCGTGATGAACTACCTGAATTACTGATAGCTGAGGGAGCCTCTTGTATCAATGCAAAGATTTCGTAGGCCACTGAGCCACTCGGGCTGATCTAACTACCCAAGTAAGTGAAGTGGTCAGCGTACTCAGCTATTTCAGTAATTATCATTAGACAAGGCACGAACGCAGAACAGTTCTAGAAGAACAATTTGCATCTGGGTGGTAGGAAGTGCATCCCAAACATCTATAAATTACCACTCAGGGTGTCCAAAAGACTATGCATCTTGTCAGCATCTTCACCTAACAAGAGTATAACATCTATGTACTCTAGATCCACCAATGATTCTTTTGTGATTGGATCACTCCCGGTGAATTCAGACGACTGGAAGATCTTCATTGTTGCGTTATGACAAAGTTGAGTATGAATGGAGAGAGTGAACATCTTGACAGACACATCTCACCATACACTCTAACACACCCATAGGTGTTCGAGCACTTGGCCCTCAGCGGTGCGAGACACTACCATAAGACCCCTCGATCAACGGAGCCGAATGCCACCTTTAGGTCGAGGAATATATCTAGTTTCGGGTGTCGATAAGTGTGCCTGTGTTCGAGAACCTGGCGGAATGTGAATATCTGGTCGGCACACCTGTGGCCAGGTCTGAAACTTATGTGGTTTTTTGGGCTTACTGTTTCCGAGCTCTACTCAGACGTCTGGTGAATGCGAAACCTAGAATCTTAGACAGTATATTCTTTGTGATTATCACAAGAGGAATTTTCATATTTCTTGAAGACTGAGATAATCAGTGAAGGAGATCATTCATAAGGGATCTCCTCTGGCTCCCTTACACTAGTGAATAGTTATTTTAATTTGACCCACAATCTTCTATCACCGTCTTTAAATACCTCTGGTACCGGTGCTCACCAGGTTGTGTTTCGTGAAACCACCATGTGAGTAGTGCAGAAGTCAGTTGCAGTTTCAGGGAGAAGAGGTAAGTCAGTTGATAGGGTTGTAAATTTTCATCGACTGAAATGGCTGGAAAACGGCGGCCAGTCTAAAACATGGAATCTGTACTTGAAGTTCTCCACTGTGTATTTGAGGTATGTACGGCGATGCAGACAAGCTGTTAAGAGTTCGCTGGACAAGAGAAACCAGAGATTAGAGATTCTATGTGATATTACGCAGAACCAATATGTGGCGCAGATGTATACACATATTATCCTCACCTTAACCGCTATATTTAATTTCATCTTCTTGTTCTCTTCTGTTCTCTTTTACTGCCTTCAACCTTTTTTTATCGATTTTTCTTTCTTTCTTCTCATATTTCATTGTCTTGTTACTTAATGTTCTGATGTGAGGTGTTGCAACTTAAATCGTTGCGCAGCAATGCCTGGTCCTATGTTGATTTTAATGATGGGTGGTGACAGGCCTTTTTTAACCACTCCCTGAGAGCCGGCTACGGTCTTTAATTCTACTTTTACAGCAGGCTGGTGATAAAACGAAACTTCTTCTGGATGGGTGATTGTGTTTCGTGGCGATAACTATCCTGCCAGTTTCCTACTGAAATAGACCTATATATGCTGTCATTGTCGACCTACACTCTCAATAGTTTTATTGCTAAAGTTTTCCTACGTCCAGTGAGACGCCGATATATGCCCTCGAACCAACGCGTTTTTACCGTTTAAACATGTGCTCCAGAATGAGCAGCAGTCTTCCACTGACCTTCTCCAAAGATGACTGGTAGCAATGTGGTCTATCTGTGTCCAACGTTGAATTGAGGTTGGTGGACGCGACGTCCGACAACCTGTCTCTATCTGAAGTTTGTGCTGGCTAGAAATAGATGGTTATCTGAGCACAGTTGTAGCCGGAGACCGCCCTTACGTGTTCTTTCGGCTGGGATTCCGAAAGTGCCACCCACCTTAGTGCCTTTCTCCCTGACAATTACCGCATCTGAGTACTTGGCTGCAAGTAAGAGGCTAGATATTTTTCGGTAGAACTTATCCTTCATCTGGTTACACCATACATATATCACGTAGTTAATAATTTGAATCAGAATATTCTTGCCTATTGATATTTGCAACTTCCCATTGTGATACCGGATCGAAAAAATCGACCTATGTTACTATTCAGGTTACTAAACCGGATGAATTTGGCTAACTGATTGAAAATACACTAATCGGTCGTTTAAAATGACAACATAGCTGGTACAGTTTTTGAGCCATTTGTGAAACATGTATTTAATCGATAGGATAAATTTGTTAAATGTCACTTTGTTATTAGCTACCAATATCAGATTCACTTGTAAGTTATCCAAATATGCTTATTTTGAACTGAACAGATTTCTGTGTATTCATGTAAATTATCAGGTCATATAACAAACATTGCTTAGTTGTTGCAGTATCACTAAGAGTTTCATACACCTAACTGATCGGCTGGAATTGTTATGGCGTGTAATTTTGTTTTTCGAAATATTGATGGTAATTACATGATAAATCTATTTTGTTAGTTGAATGTAACAAGCAGTAAGTTTCGTTTTTCAGGAACTATTGATTAGAGAACAACAATAGGAGACCACAGTGGTAGCCGCCAGACAATAATTTGGAAGTAGGAAAGAGACGAAAGAAGAGGACTCATTGAATTCATTAAATGATGCAACAAACCACGAAATAGTACAGCGTAAATTCAACCAAAAAATAACACTTAATTAGTTAGTCTTGTTACGTTGGTGATTCATGTCCCCCTCCTCTACAACTACTACTTCCTAACCTATGATGTAAATGCTGTACGTACGGATCAAACATTATCAGTTTGGCATCTGAAAACTGCAGAAAAAATCACTTAGATCCATTTGTTTCATGGGAAGAATACCGTTGCAAATAAAATTTAAAAAAAACCCTAGTTCGATATTTAATCATTTGCTAGGTTGACTTTTGAAGTCTCTCCTACCTTATAATCCCACTTTCCTCAAGCGTAGCATATACGAATAGCAATGATTGCAATTGTTTAAAGTGTGATTTATTGTGTTAGCCTATACCCTTTGTACAACTTTACAAGCATTCTAGTGTGACCGTAAACATGTGTAAATAATTTGTGGATAATTTCCTCGAAAAAGAACTTATTTTATGCATTTTAGACCCTCCAACTCAATTTTCCGATTGGTTGAAAGTTCCCAATTCAAGGTGTTCTAGTCAATGTCCTCCAGCAAATTGTTTAAATGGAAAACAGTTATCTGTTCTCTCTGATCATGTGAATATCACATCAGCTCAGTGTTTCTTATTATCATTATGGACAAACTCAACTAGTTGGTTATCACAAGTCGATCATTCCATACTCAGTTCAGTTGAAATGCCTTGTCAGTCATTACTTGCTCGAATGGAATCGAAAGGTTTCAGTAAGTTGATCGTAATTGTATTTATGATTAGTAGTATCCTTTTTCAATCACCATGTATCTCTACATTACTGTCTAGCTATGTGCCTAACAGAGATCCTATCTTCTTATATAGCCTTGTAGTGTACGTGTATGGGAGAGAGAGAGAGAGAGGTACATTGGACACTTGAATAATAGCCTTCAGATTCCACTCATTGATGGTCTCTCAGTTTTCTCGATAAATGTGTATTGTGTGTGTGTGTGTGTGTGTGTGTGTGTGTGTGTGTATTGCAACGCCAAAATATACATACAAAACACAAGAATTTGTATATACTTAAAATGGCCTTAATTATTTCCAGGCCTTTCGAGATTAGAATATCTGACTGATTTTAGCCACTTCAACCAGTCTGGTATTCACATGTTAGTTCATATGCCTCTTCTGGAAACTTCAAAGCAGGGATTTACGACTTATGAAGATTTTGTCAACCTGATTTCACAATATAACCATCCCATGTGACTACAGTTACAACTGTATGCGGAAACATTAGTAGGTTTTATGTGACTAAATGATGTTACGGACAGAATACCACTTTTGTCCACTTCAAGGTGGATCTGTCAGTTTACTTGTTCCTGTGGAGCAATGCATATTGAATATCAACAGCATCACGTTTGTAAACTTTATTCGGAACACTGTCATGCTCAGTAGTTACCTAGAGGAGAGAGAAGGAATATATGAGTAGTTCCATTCTCGAATACTTCGTCATCTTCGGATATCTGGTACTTCCCTCTAGTTTCTTCAAAGTAATTTACAGAGTGCTTTCCTACAATTTCAAAAACTTTCGGCTGCATCATCTATCCGTAGCCAAATCATCAGCAATTCACAGTTTTAAACGTGATTTTTGTGTTCAAAGACATTACATGAACTCATACGCCCTTACTTTCCTCTGTCTTTAAAAACCACTTTTCTTAGCCTACTTTTGATCATGTTAGTAATCACGTAACTCTGTTGATGACAATAAAATCCTAATTGTCTCCAATACTTAAAAATATGACTACAGCTTTATTAAAGGATATTGTTGGTAAGCAATTTTGCTTTTCAGCCGAAGGGTTCTGTGCAATGCAGGCAAGTCTATTGATGAGGTTGTGAACCTTCATCGACTGAGGTGGCTTGGACATGTGTTGCGCATGCCGATCCACCGCCTGCTTATCTCAATGTCCCACGCTAGAGAAAGTTGGATTAGGTTGGAAGAGGGTTCAGGGTGGCCTGACCAAGACGTGGCACCAATTGATGAAGTCCCTGACTGTTGGCCTGAGCCAGGTGGGAAGATGTAGACTAACTGGTTGGCGTACCCGAGATGAAAGGAATCATTAGTTGAGGACTGACTTTTGCTGTCATGACTGTAAGTCGGTCACAGTGGCGGCGGATGTATTTATTCCTTGGTATTTTCGAAAGCTTGAATATTTGTACGGAGCTTTATCTTCAGATTGTTTATTCTCCCACACTACTTTATCTTCTTTGATGTCACCCTTTTCCTGTCCACTTGTTCTTTGTATACCACTGTGTAGTATGGTAAATTGAACCAATCTACCTGTATGTAAGGTTCTACGTTTATTTAGTCAGTCATTTACTCCTAGAAAGCCAGTTGGATATATAAATATCCTTTGACGACTAAATAGGTTGAACTTTTAGTGTTCCATGCAGTCATAGTAAATGCAACATCTTATAGACTTTTATGATCGATAATGTCTTGTGTTTCACACATATAAAGATTGTCAGTGACCCCATTATCAACGTGCCTTTGACTCAAAGTATAAAAGATACAATATTTTGGTACACATTTATTTCGCATTTATCTTTGATTTGAAACATGACGTTTTTTCATAGTGTTCATTTTTTTTTTGATTGACCTTCAATTTTTAGATTTATGCTTGGATGAGTTGAATAAATGTTATGCCTCATTACTTCATGCATGTAAACAACTAGAAAGTGTTGCACATCGATTAGCTGGCCTACCATTTCCTCTGGATTCACCAAAAGAAATTTCAAAGGTTTGTACTGTCGTTGGTCTATTTTCATATTTGAAAAATAGTATTGTTATCCATCATCTCGGTGATATGCTAGTCTGGATTGATAGATTTCTGTTGCCATAGGGAGTTATTATGAGAATTTATCATTACTGGTTGCTTTGAAGTTCGTTGTTTAGTGTTCTCAGTATTGAGTTCAGCTCTTATTGGGAACAGTATTTCACTGAAGCAATGTATATTTTCCTTGAATCCATCTTCAGTTGCTGTCATCTAACATTGATATGTGTTTGTTTCTAGCATTGTAAGACTGATCTCTATGATATCTACTGTCCTTACAAGAGATTATTTCTTGGTAAATATCTCAGAATTTACCTATACTGAAAATGTTCCCTTCGTAATTTTTTCCTAGCTTTAAGTGTATATTGATAGTTATACGAACAGCGTTTAAATCAAACTTTTTCTGACTACTGGATATATAATGATGAAGGACCAGAAACAAATAGAGTAGTATGGTCTACAATATTCTATACTACATGTCGTAAGTAGACACTTGAATGGAGTTATACCATTTCATTGAGTTTGGAGAGAGTATTCTCTTAAAACCACTGATTGTGTGCATTTGATCTTATAGTAGAAAATAAGTTCAAACTCTTGAAGTGAATCCTTAAGGAATTCAGTCAAGCATTTTTTAGCCAATTACTACATTTTATTCAAAGATAATTTATTTTTAATTTGTTTTGGCAGGCTTTCTTTTCATGCGTTAATTGAGAATTACTCTAACAACCATCCTAGCAACTGCTGAAATAAACTAGTACGGTTCCCCTATTTAATTAGGAAAGATAATTTTAAATTAGGAGAACTTATTGGTTATTTCAGTATTTTTTAGAGTGGTCTTTAGAGAAAGCTACTCCTGAAATGAATACAAGGCGGAGTATTTGAAAGTCCTCTGCCAAAAGCCGTCTAAGCTAGCAGTTCATGCGTTCGTACAGTCGAGTGACATTTTAATATATTCTGTTGGTAAATCGCTTACAAATTGGACGACGTGGCTTACAATAGATTAACCAGTAACTCCTTATGCCAACCAATCAGTTTTCTTGTCTTCTCCTGGATAAATAGTTTTTGTATGAAATATATAAATCTAATTGGTCATTTCAGTAGTTGCTAGGATGACCTTTGGAAGTTGGGTAACTTTAAAGGCTATCCTGAGAAGAGCTGTATAACCACCAATCAGGTGTCGGTATTCCGACCAGAAAGGTAGTTTTTCACAAAACATCGAACCCTAATTGGTTATCTTAGCCGTTGCTTAGGCTGGCCTTTAGAGGCAGTCGAGATATACTCTCATTAAGTTGGTGACTCATCAGTATGAGAAAGATGCAAAACAAGTGTGACCTCCTTCAGACAGTGAAATCTATTGAAAGTCAATCGTCATGTGATCATGTTTAAGTTTATATTAGCCAACTATCGTTATTGATCACTGTGGTAAGAAGCCATAGCATTTTTATTTACCACTATAAGAGTTTCTCAGGAATCGAGTTGTTATATAAACTTTTTTGTTATTCGTATGATTTTATTTACAGGTCCTTTTTAAATGGCTTCATCTGCCGCGTGTAACAGATCCTAGTGAGTTAATTTTATCGAAGAAACGTAGCCAACAAGCCTTATTACTGAATGGACGTAAACATTCAAATAATTTGCCTAGAGCTACTAATGCTGTACTCTTGAAATTAGCAAATTTCCATCCGTTGCCAGCTATTATTATTGAATGGCGTCATGTGAATGGTATTTTAGAAAAAATATTCAATTCATTAATATCAACATGTCGTAATTGTATATCGACTGATGCCAATGAGGTAATTCTTTTACAACAGAAAAAAAAAGAAACTCGTTATAATTAACTGATCTTTGTACATTTTTCTTCCTTCTGCATGTTATTATCTCATAAGTAATGAATGGAAGCTAATTATACATTTGATCATATCAAAAAGATAGGGAGGATTATTTTTAACAAGTTTACATTTTAAGGTTACTTATTTAATTGGTCGTAAAAAAGGAAATAATTTTTTTCAATCAGTCTGTGAAATGTTGCATACCACATAGTAAAATTGCATTTTTTTAAATAGTTATTTAATCTTCACAAATTAACAGAGGAGGAGAGATCAATTTAGAAGGATAAATAAGTGAACTTAAGTAAAATGTTGGCAATTTCGAAGGTAACAAAGAATGGATAGATAGGTACATCTGTACCGTTTAGATCTATTCGAGCCATATCAAACAAGTGTCTGCAATCCATCAATCCAAATCTTGTGAGGACTGTAGGTGGTCTACACTTCCATTCTCAACTCAGACTAGCAGTCAATATGTTAAAGTTGGTTCCAATGGCAATACACATCTGCAGCTCTCACTATAAGAATAAGAGATTTTATTACAAAAAGACTGATTGAGCGAAGAGATATATTCCTTTTCAGTTAGGTCTTCATCTTGGGCTCTTCGCTAAAAAAAATATAGGTTTACAGTTTAATCAAATTACCAAGTGAACATAAATCCTCCAACAAAAGTCGAAGTCCTGAGCGCCATAAAGCTACTGAAATGCGGGAAAGCAGTAGGATCAGATGGAATCCTGCCAGAAGCACTGAGAACAGACGCACACACAACAGCGGACATGCTCACACCACTATTGCAGAAGGTTTGGAAGGAAGGGAAAGTACCTGCAGATTGACTGGAAGAAGGGCCATCTTGTCAAACTGCCAAAGAAGGGCGACCCAAGTCTTTGCAAGAACTGGTGAGGAATCATGCTCCTGTGCACCCCAAGCAAAGTATTAAGCCGCATCATCCTGGGGTGACTACAGGATGCTCTGTATTTAAAAGTATGACCGGAACAGGCTGGCTGGATTCAGGAGGTATAAGTCGTGTGCGGACCAAATTGCAACGCTTCGCATCATCACAGAACAGGGTATAGAACGGCAGTCAACCCTCTACCTCAACTTCATCGACTTTGAAAATGCCTTTAACAGCGTCGACCGACAAGTAATTAGACAGTCAGTTGCTGCTTCAACACTACTGAATACCACAAACCTTTATCGATCTCATTCAACAACAATATGAAGACGTCACATTACCAAGTAATTCACAATGGGAAGCTCAGTGATGGAATTAAAGTGAAGACAGGAGTAAAACAAGGCGTCTACTATCCCCCATGATATTCCTGGTTGTGGTCGACTGGATCATGCAACAAACAGTGAGGAACGAGAAGATGGGCATACTCTGGCTAGACCGATGAAAAGAACCTAGAAGATTTGGATTTCGCCAACGATGACCTATGTCTAATGTCACACAAACTTGAAGATCTGCAGGCGAAAACCAACAAGTTGACGGAAGAAGCAGGGCAGCGAAGATTGGACTTCAAGTGAAGGTAGAGAAGACAGAGGTGATTATGATACCCAACCAACAACAAGAAGCTCCAATCACTGTGAATGGGAGAAACTTGAAGGGAGTAACCTCTCTTACCTATCTAGGCAGCACTGTTTCAACTGCAGGAGTCACGGACGAGGATATCAAGGCCGGGATTGGAAAAGCAAGGCTGGCGTTCATTAGCCTGAAACCAGTGTGGAGATCTTATGCACTCAGCATGTGGAACAAGATGCCGATTTTTAACACTGATATCAACTCAGTGCTTCTGTATGGTTCAGAGACTTGGCGCGTTATGAAAAGCATTTCCAACAAACTACAGACATTCATCAACAACTGCCTACGCTGGGCTCGTTACTGAAGATCAGATGGCCAGAATGACAATAATAAGCAACAAGGAACTCTGACTGGGCAACAACCAACCAAGAACCTATCGCTCAACAAATATGCAGAAGGAAGTGGAGATGGATTGGGATACGCTGAGAAGACCGACTGGGGACATCACGCGTCAGGCCCTCGAGTGGAACTCAGATGGGAAGCGACGAGTTGGGCGTGCGAGGTAAGGTTGACATAGAGGAGATGTAAATAATCAATAGAGTTACTAAAATTGAAAATATGAATACTAATAGAAACAAGAAGGAAAAGAAGTGTACAAAGCAAACCTAGAAGTTACATCATGTTGATGGCCACGGTAATGAAAGTGATCGAACAAACTTCTTTTGGATACAAAGGCTAGGTTTGTAAAGATGTGTTGCAATCGCCTCTGCTATATGAAGTGGGCGAGTGCTTAGTCTATTAGGTAAATTAATTGGAATCTGATGGATGATTTTGAAGGCTTATCTAGTAACCGCTTGATGTCCTGTGTCAACTAAGTGTGCAAGTATGGAGTTCTTCATAGTTCTAATTTGTCCCTTGTTCAACCATGAAGGGTGATGCTCAGAAATTCGACGATGGAACTGCCTCATTGTACGCCCAATGTAACTAGCTCCACAGGAGCAGTTGATTTGATAAATGCATATAGAAGTGGCAGAATCGGGCAGTTTGTCTTTATTTCTTGCACCTAGAATCGGGCGGTTGTAGAAGGCGGGACATAATTTAGCGGCTGGGAATGCTTTATGCAAGACTCTTTTTATGCGTTGTGTGGTGATCTCACTGGCAATATCACTCTTAAATTGCAGCTTCAAGAAGATTTGCTTCTTAGGAACTGTTGGCATTGTTGTCTTAACCCTCGTAATATTCATGTGCTTAGTTACAAACTTGTCTGGGTAGCCATTCCTACTAAGCAGATTACGGATGGTGGCGCACTCTTCCTTTATAGCATCCTCTGAGCAAATAGCTGATGCACGGTATACTATGCATTTCACTAGGTTCCTTTTGTATTGGAGGGGTACAGCACTAGAGAAGTGCGTATATTGACCTGTTGATATTGGCTTTCTATAAACACTTCGCTTCAGGGTTCCATCTGACCTTCTTACTAACAGAACATCAAGAAATGGGATGCTATCATTTTTCTCCCCTTCCATTGTGAAGTTGGTTGCCGGGTGAAGAACACTATTGAACTTATTCAGAACAGCATTCTTATCAGACTTACTTTTGAGAACTACAAAGGTATCATCCATGTAACGACAATATAACTCTAAACGGCTAATAGTATCGTTCAGTGGACCATTCTCAAGTTTTGCCAGAAAAAAATCTGCTAAGAGTGGGCCAAGGGGTGACCCCATAGCAACACCATCAGATTGCCTGTAGAGTTCATTGTTGAAAAGAAATTGTGCATTCATCGTACACCTCAGAAGTAGTTCTTTGAATGTGCAGACTGGAATACCTATTTGCAAGTGGTGCTTCGTGAGTTCGTTGCAAATAAAGTCTACCATCTCTATTAAAGGGAAGTTAGTAAAAAGAGATGAAACATCACACGAAATCATTAACTTATTCTCTACTTCCAGATCCTCAACCTTTCCAACAAATTCAAAGATATCTTTGAGACTGTACTTCACAACTTCTTTGTGGAGAGGCTTCAAGAGTTGTACTCAGATTCAACGCTAAGAATATGTGCAAAGTTAGCTGGGGTAACACAATAGAATATAAATGGTTTTATAGTAATTTGTACTACTTCGTGAGGTTTTTGAGTGTTGCTACAATTCATTGACTTCCTGATTAGCATCTTTGAGATAGTTAAAACTGAAAGCTAAAAAAGTTTGATAATACATCTTATAATCAGTCACAGTAAGACTGAAACAAGTACTTCTTATTTCTTTAAATATAAATTTATATTTGTCGCTTCACTTTTATCTTGTCTCCTTTGTACAGTCCCCTTAAATTTATCATTAAGGATTCGATTATTTACACTCATTTGTATTTTTTACTCATTGACTTAAGCATTCAACTCTCAAGCAATGAGTTTCAATCCTTCTCCACCTACTTCAACTCGAGCAACCGGATAGTATTGAAAGTCTTCACACTATAAGTGTAACTGGCAGCCTCTAATGCATAAACATTCATCGGGTTGAGTTTTATGACTCATGGATTCCTCTTTATTTCTGTGATGTGAGTGTGTTAACTTGAACTTGTACACAATTCGGTCAAGTTGTGTATTGTTCCTGACTGACTGACTGGTTGGGGATACAAGTAGAAATAGGCTTTTAACAATGTTTCTATTCTCTAGTCTAAATTGTAAAGCATATTTTAAGTGTTCTGTACATCATCCATCATACAGCAGAATGATGAGATTCGTATTCTGAAAGTCCCTCTACTCGTAGAAATATCTTCATGAAGAGCAATTATTCTACCACAGTCTTACATAGATTCATTCACTGAAGCAGTAAATATGTATTATACTTTTCGGAACTAAATCGTTTTTCAATCTGTTTGATTCAGTATCTTTACATAATCAGCACCAAAAAAGTAGACAATAATCTAATGAATTAATTTATTTTATTAATGGCCTTTACCATTTGAGTTTTTCCAACTGTTGAGATCAACTGGATGCACGGTCAATTATGATCTTATTGAAATCGAAATCCATTCGGCAGCCTTGTGGAGTAGGCAATGAGCCATATCTAATATGTGAAGGTTATCGATACTATCTGTCTGCGCAAAAGCCAGTAGGAGAAGGAGCTGGTTTTGAACCCGTGATCTATCAAGTGTCTGGACTTATTAGGCAAAGTTAATTTGCGGTCTTTTAGCATACTTTCTGTTTTCCGCTTAGGGTTGTTTACATATTCAACTTTCCCAATTTTTCAAAGACTGTTACACTTTGATATTGAAGTCAGCTAAACGTTCCAAGCAAATACTTTTGTTTAAATCCTCCAGAAAGTATGAGACACATTGACTGTGACACTATCAACAGTAATGGTATAAGTTCTTTCTTCATTTCAGCCACTCTTATTGCCACTATTCTAGCTATTCGGTAATATGTATAAAACCCTTTATTTATGGTTCAATAGTTATTAATAATTTAAACAAGCTGTAAGTTTTTCTATGACCGGTAATGATACCTAATAGTCTACGAGCGATACGAACCTAACGCGCAAAACGGATCAGACTCTAATGCTAATCAGAACGCCAACCACCAAAACAACAATACCATCAACACGCGAAGACAAGAAGAGAAGACAGACCGTTGATAGAGAGCTTTTACTGTCTCATCAACAGTCAAAACAGTTGAGAGCAATACTGACTATATATATTTCCCAACGACCTAATAACACCAAATCTACAAATGGGTTGAAAGAGTTAACAACCAATGAAAGTCTAGCCTTCAGAGCAGTGGGAAAACAAGCTGATAACAGTATGAAAACAGCTATGATAAATTAAAGTTATAGGCAAACGTCAAAGGTTATATAAAATTAGGGGTTTTCTGCTTATTGAGTTAAATTGTAAAAGATGAAAAAGGTCATGTTCATTATTCAAGCTTTAAAACTGTGTCTGCTAGTCATGATTATTGATCACTTTCGGTGTATTAGATGCCAGCAGTCAATCGGTTGGGGCATCCCTTGACCTAAGTTTCCTGTTTGTTGGCGCTTATCAACAGTATGTATATGCAATCATGGGGAAACTCGTCTTCTTTCAGTGATTCAATCTGTACCACTTTATTGCCGAAATCAGAAACTTTACTTGTAAGCTATTCATTCAAGCTCCCAACTGAACTACTGGATTATGTGGACGAGTTAGAAACCAGTGTTGTATTTATAGTCATCAAGAGGAGCTAGTAGATTTAGTAAAAATCTTTTTCAATATCTTATTTCCGATATCAATAAAGTGTGAATATTATAGCAAACCTTAAATAAGGGCATTAAACGAAATTTAACAGAATTTTATATTCTTTTTCAATATAGTTAAGGACAGGAAATTGTTGACTTTACATTGAAATAATTATGCATGCCGTCTAACATGAAGGAATTACTCTAACTATTAAGTTTGATTTCCACCTCATACTTTGAAGTCTTAATAGTGACCTTCATTTTACGAAATAACAATACTGTGATTATATGATTTTCCGTGCTAACTATAGCATAATTTCGGGATCTCAAATATTCGGTTTTGAAGTGATACAACTGAAAAAGAATTGTTTCTTTATGACACATTTCCCGAGCATATATCCATGTTTTCCATACAGTAAACTAGTTGTAGTCCAAAAGCTTATCGTTCTGCGCTGATGTCCGAAGTTAGGGAAGTGAAGTAAATTGACTTTAATTTAGTGGCTAAATTATCACTGTGCATAAATATGATTGTTGGAACCTGTCCAGCGTTTGTCTAATGAGATAAAAGGTAAACCTTCAGCGTTATCAAGAAGAGGTTTTCATTTTAATACTCTACTCTCCTATTCTTATATCAGCTATATCAACAACCAGGTACAGACGCCTATTGTTTGTGGACTACCTGGCTATCCAGATTTCGGCAAAGAGGTTGGGGTTCGAACTCATGACACACTGGTTGAGAACCTAGACCATTTGGCTTCAGATCTTCATATTCTTTTAAAATTTGCCAGTTATTTCTTTTCATCATCAGTATTTAACCAATAAATTGTTGTTAGTCTTTATTCTTCTTCTCTAAACTGCTTAAATTTTTTAGCCTTTACGTGTATCACCGACATATGATGTATATACAGCGACAGGTCGTATTGTCTCTACTATGCCAAATTTACAAGCTGTTCCTAAGGATATTATTATTGAATGGCCGAAATTACTGTACAAGACTTCGTCTAATAACCGTCAGTTATGGCCTTCACCGTTTGACAAAGTATTATCGGAATTCCCTAAATCTAACGAGGTACATTCAACTAATGTTTACTAGCATACTTTTACATTTTACTCTTTTATTCTTGCATATTTGAAGCTCATTTCAACGATAAATGCACCAACAGTATCTTAGTATGTCAGCTTGAAGATATGATAAAAGTGGTGACTTCAGGTTTCTGCTTTCACGCAAAATGTCTGTTGATACTGGGTGATGATTAAAGGTGAAATGAAAATGGTCCAACTGCTGACCATATTTTTATTTCACTTCAGTCACCAAGGGTTTTACCCGACTACCATGTGAATTCGTGACGCATTACTATCGCTTGATCGTACTGACACTGGCTGCCTGGTCTATGTAGAATTCAGAGCATAAAATAGAAGTGTTTGGTTCATGAGTCCTATTTCATAGACTGTAATTTTATCTGCTTACTCACATAGACAAACTGTGTCAATATGGATGTGAAAAGCTTAGTAGTAAACCACTCAAACTGATCTGTTGACTTTGCCAACCAGTTCAGGGTGATCTAAACACCAGACGACTATCTCTTCGCTTGGGGCCGAAAAATTCAGATCATAGAGCCTAATTTTTCAACTCACATGAATCTGGGTAGTTGACTTGTATAGACATGTATACCGGTTTTCCATCTGATCTGGCTGGCCAAATCTGCATTTCAGCCTGAGTAGTTTCTAACTACTCAAACTGTTCAGCAGTCTTTATTCATAACTATCAGCACACTGTTTATGCACGTATTTAACAAGCGATCACAGTGTGCGTGAGGCTTAGCCAAAAAAGTGATCTGAAAAGGCACCTCTGCACTGAAATTCACCGTTTTGACAGTGTTTGCAGCCTTCAACACTAGTAAAGTTATTGAATCTAGTTTAGATAAAACAGCTAGATTATCATTATTTTCCTGGAACGTTCATCTTTTTCGCAGGAGAAGCGCACACACATATACGAAGTTATTTTTGGCTGTCTTTGAAGTCATTTCCTTAAGACTGACAACAAATTGTACTACCCGGTTGTTCCAACCGACATGAAACCGACTTCGACGGAAAATGTTAGATTTTAATGGGAGTTTAATTCACTATTGCTATAAATTACAGTGTCTCTTTCAGTTACCAAGAATGTATCGCCTTTTAGTTATGTCAGTAATGTTTGTTAGTAGTTTTTGTAAAGTAGACGAAAATCCCCATGAAGGACTATCAACGGCTGAAGAGTTGTTGCATTGTTCTCTTCTGGATCGATATTCCATAACACTAGCACAAAATCACTGGTTGATATTTGCACTATAATTTCAGGTAGTTGCTTGTAAAAAGCATCTATTCATCTGAAAATGTTGTATTATTCATCGTTGTTACTTTGTGTATTATTCATTTCAGATTATCAAACCTCGTTGTGCATTTGTTACACCTGCTGGAGGTATGCTTATTTCTGGAGATTTTTGTCAACTAGAACTAAGACTTTTAGCCCATTTTAGTAAAGATTCAGAACTTTAAAACTTCTTTCAGTGGAGTATTCAAGTCATATTGATCAGTCTATGGCGCCTAACTCGGAATCGGATGCCTTTAAAAAGGTGATTGCATGACTTTTAATTGTTCGCTTTCCTTGTGTTACATTTCTTGGCATAGATTATTTGTTATAATATTAGTACAATATATTTTAACTGAATATATTCGGTTTTACTAATGACTGTCTCCACCTGTATTATGCGACTCCCTGTAGATCTAGGAAATAGCATTAATGTCGTTTTTAGTTGTCTGTCACGTTTTCCTTCGGGGGAGTGTAACTATAAATAATCCGATGGGGTGTGCAGCAGATCCATTCATTCATCAATCTTATAGTTTACTCTACGAGTATTCCATAAAGGTTTTGGGCTCATCAGCGTTAGAAATTTTCAGTCTTTTGATTTGCAGTGACCAAATACTGTTCAACTATCCCGATAAGATCCATGATATGGAGTTGAAGACATTAGGCATTGGTGTCAATATGCCTCTTGATATCCCTATAAACGACTCAGTTGTATAATTCAATGGTTAGCTGCGACTGACTTAAGGAAATTCCTGCAGAATATTGCACCTTGTGATATGAACCCTGTCGGCATTTAAGATCTATACCCATTGAAAGCAGTGAATGATGATAGCGGTACAACACTAAGCGGTTGGATTTGCAGAATATATTTCATAGGATTTTGTCCTAGTGGTTACGCTGCAGCAAGCTGATTGAGAAAGTTGAACATCCCAAACTGTGTCTCACCATTTATGATATGTTTGCTCAAAATCCAGTGTTACGTATGTATTTGTTATCATATTCACTTCTTATAAATAATATAGTATATTTTAAAAAGAATGCTCAATCCCTAATGCTTTCTTGCTGTTAAATTAATTAAGCTTGCTGCTCATTGGTTGAATATTCCTCATCCAAATCAGGTCACTGATGTTCAACGCCAACAAGCGAAACAGATATGCTATGCTATTTTATATGGAATGGGAGCTCAAACATTATCCAATCAGTTGAATATATCAGAACAAACTGCACAAAAATTGATTGATAGTTTTCTGCAAACTTATCCAGGTGAACAAAATTATAGTTCATTCTTTCCTCCATTGAAATAACGTGTTTCATTCAGGTCTATTATATATTTTTCAGATTTCCTCCACAGTAACAACACTAATGAAGTTTCATACCTCTTATGCTTTGTATATATTTCCAGTCGGAATATTCATGAAACTTTCCGTGGTCTCGGAATTTCTGAATTCATTGTGGTAGCATTGATCATGGACTAACATCGGTTGGAGAAACATTGAAAATCCGGAAGCACTTGACAGCCGTTTCGTCCTAGTATGAGAGTCCTCAGCAGTTCGCACACATGACCCCACCAGAGTTATCTGATGAAGTCATGTGTCCGTGGGTCAGTGACGTTTATCTTCCGGATGTTCACTAATTTCCACTCGATCTAATCAATCAGTATCAACATGGAACCAGGGATTGCTCAACGGTTCAAGTTGCAACACCTTATTTCAGTACAATAAGTAACAAAGCAGTAAGGTGATAAATGAAGGAAGTGAGGAATGGGAAAATGATGATACTAAGTATTGCGGTTGAGATGAGGATAATGTCTGTATACATTTGCGCCAGTGACATCGGTTTTGTGCCATATCACCTAGAGTCTCCTACCGAGGACCCCAACTGGCTAGTCTGCATTGCCGTACATGGCTCAAACAAACAGTGGAGAACTTCAAGTACACATTGTGTTTTGGTCGGACCGCAGCAAGCCTTTTTCCAGTCTGAACCTACTTCGGCCAAAATTGTGCGACGAAGAAGACAATGTTTAGGCGTACATAGTACGCGTTCCAGCCATTTCAGTCGATAAAGATTCACAACCACATCAACTGACTTACGTCTTCTCCCTGGAACTCTACAACTGACTTCTGCATTACTCGTATAGTGACACCACGAAACACGACCTAGGCTACTAAGGCAACAGTGGTCAAACACCTGAAGCCTTCTACCTTTAATGGCCATGTTTCACAGTCATACAAGAGATCAGAGCGGATTGCATTGCAGCCCACTTGACTCTTATTAGGCAATCGCGGCTGTGCCATAAATGGCGTAAGTTGTCGAAAGTCAACCGAGTCTTCTTTATCCGTGCAGAGATTTCATCGACCACTAACCTGCCAGGTGTGTTGCGACTTCCTAAGCAAGTGAAGTGTTCAACGCACTCAACCACTTCACACTGTTTTATTAAACAAGACCGCTTAAGATCAGTCCTGGAGCAACAATTCGCATTTGGGTGGCAGGAAATGTATCTCAAACATTTTCAAATTGCTACTCAAGGTGTCCAAAAGACTGCATCTTCGTCTAACAAAACTATGTTATCTATGTATTCTAGATCTACCACGGATTCTCTAGTGATTAGATCAATCCATATGATGTCAGAAGAGGAGATGGAGACCTCCATAAGAACGTCTCTGATAAAATTGAACAGGAATGGAGAGAATGTACATCATTGGTGGACGCGACTAGATGTACACACCTCACCTGACAACTCATCATAGGCTCTAACATCCCCATGGGTGTTGGAGTGAAGAGCCTATGGCACAGTACTGATTTTCCCTACATAAGTATTTATGGAGGTTTGATTGTATGCAAATTGCATAGTTCTCTCTCTGTCGCCCTAATTTGATGCAAAACAGATCATAATGACCGTCAGTAGGAAGTATGTAGTACGTTTACATTCTCGATTGGGCTACCTAACAGGTGAACTACAGTGCACACAAGTGCACCAATCTAACTCGCCGGTTTATTTTTGGAAGAGTGTCTTAAATATATATCCTCTTCGTTTTCGATAAATACTGAATGACCAGTTAAATGTATTACTTTAAAAAAATGAATTGTATTTTTCCTTGCCTGTATCTTCTAGACTGTATTAATGATATATTATATTCTTGGAATTCGCAAAACATATAGGTGTTCAAAATTTTATCACAACGACCATTTCATCTGCTCATCATGAAGGTCGAATTACAACACTGAATGGTCATATTCGTCTTCTACCAGCATTATCCTCTAAGACATCATTGAATCATGGTATGGATTATGATTATGATTTTGGTTTCTCAAGGAAACAAGATTATCGAAATTATTTTGCTGTTATGAAGGTAAGTATTTTAAGCTTTATGTAACCATTACTTTAACGTGTTAACATTAATGGACATCAGTGGTAGAACAACTAAAAAACAAACTATTTGTTTATTCTACTTTTAGGCCGCTTATATTAGTGTACATTCATGAATTCTTCTGAGATGTAAGCCAGAGATGTTCAGCCTTTTGATGAACACGTTATTCATAAAACACTTGGCTGGAATCTATCACTTATTACTGTATAGTTTTTATCTATTCAAAAAAAACTAAATAGTATGATATTTATGCAATACTATTTAGAAGTTTTTTTATCCTTAGTCCGTGCTCAGTTTCACGGAACGTTCTAGGTGTCGAAAATATTCCTTTTCCAAAACAGTTCAACAAATCAGCAATTCTATTGGTATTGAAGCTGTGATCCAGTGACGCTTTGAACCATGTTATGGTGAAAGGAATCCGTTGTGTTTATAGAATAACGAAAAAAAATCTTTAAAGCATTTGAGTAAATCTTAAACTGTATCAGAGCATTCAAAGTATTTAGAATTGGAATGTATGAAAGTGCTAGACTGTTTTCTTCTAGACAAGCACTCTTCTGTACATTATCGTGCTTAAGCATTTCTAACAGACATATTCATATTGTTAAGAGGGGGGGGGGGGCAATCACTCACCAATATTTTCGAAATGTAATACTAATTAACAAAGAGATGAATTACTCATTCATCGTCTACTTTCCACCTTCTTGAGCTATTCAGCTACTGATTTTTAAATAGGTATTTGAACCTAAGTGTGAATCCACAGCTTCATCAAGTGTCCCATAACTCCAATTTCGCTTACCTTACGAAAACAATAAGTCAAAAACACCAGTCAGCAACCAATTATTATTATTATTATTATTATTAGTCCCTTGGGTTCCTAGTGGAACACAGGGCTTCAGTAGCACGTCTCCAGTGACCTCTGTTCTCTGAGATCTTTTGAACCTGGTTCCACGACAGCCCAGAAGCTCTCATTTCCTCCTCGCACGACCTCCTCCATGTCACCCTCGGACGCCCAACTCGTCGCTTCCCATGGGGATTCTACTCGAGGGCCTGACGTGTGATGTCCCCAGTCGGCCTTCTCAGTGTATGCGCAATCCACCTCCACTTCCTCCTGCATATTTGTTGGGTGATAGGTTCTTGGTTGGTTGTTGCCCAGTCAGAGTTCCTTGTTGCTTATTCTTGTCATTCTGGCCATCTGATCTTCAGTAAAGAGCCAGCGTAGGCAGTTGTTGAATGTCTGTAGTTTATTGGAAATCCCTTTCGTGACGCGCCAAGTCTCTGAGCCATACAGAAACACTGACTTGACGTTGGTGTTGAAAATCAGGATCTTGTTCCACATGCTGAGTGCATAAGATCTCCACACTGGTTTCAGGCTAATGAACGCCTGTCTTGCTTTTCCGATTCTGACTTTGACATCCTCGTCTGTCCCGCCTGTAGTTGCAGCAACCAATCATATATCTCTAATTATACTATATATCTTTTGTGAATAAAATGAAGTGTAATTTTGGACCAAAACCAATAATAATAAATCCCTCTTGGTAAGATAAGCTTATCACTTTCTACGCTTAAAATGTGAAACTTTCTTTTTAAGTACTTTTACTGGCCACTGAACACCGACTACTTTGACCTAACTGTAAGGTAACATCGTGACGAATATACTTCGAAGTTTATATTACTTCCTCTGTAGGTTAGTGTGTTATTCTGAAAATGTTCGCATAATAATCTAGATACTCTCAGTATTACAACTTCATAGAAAAGTAAGTCCTTTTGACCGAAGGTAGAATCTTCATGGTAAGTTATGTATTTTTTCATAGTGGAAACATTTACGAATTCGGTGGGAGGTATTGGATGAAGGCTAACTAAGAAGGGTCCACAAAAGCAAACTTACCCGTTCTGTAAACATAGTTACTGGTAACCCAGCCTTGAAAACCAGAATACATAAGTGACCGGTTGAGTTGTTTTCATTCAGTGACATTTAAAAAAATAATATATAGAAGTTATTATACATATTTTAAATGTCGAAATGTCGGGATAAACTTCAAACTATCAGCTTACTTAGATTTTATGTAACAGTGTTCGTCAAATTGTTGGTTGTCTTTACAAATTTAATTTGCTCATTTCTGACTCAAGTGGTAATTAAACAAATTTTGTCTTCATTTATTTTTACTAGGCTGAACGTCAAGCTGTTAATAGCATAATCCAAGGCAGTGCAGCGGAATTAGCAAAGCTCGCCATGTTAGCAGTCGATGAAGCTCTTCACTGTACTCAGATTCCTGGTTATGCCAGTATTGTTCTACATGAACATGATGAATTAATCTATGAGGTAAGTGTTCTACTAATTGTCTCCCACTCTCTTCAGTTTGATATGCGACTCCCTATTAAAAGCCATCTATACTGCGCTCTATGAGACATGGACATTAAAGATAGAGAACTTATAAAGGCCTAAAGTGTTCGACCAACGTTTTCGTAGCATAGACCATATGTCGTATTACCACCACGTGAGTAATGTAGAAGTCAGATGCAGCGTTTAAAGGGGGAAGTGTGTAAAGCTTCATCGACTCAAGTGGCTTGGAAATGTGTGACATATGCCCAGTCACTATCTGCATCGTCGCGGAATGTTAGCTGAAGTAGGTTCTAGCTGGAAAAACGTTATAGGTGACTAGACTAGAAAATGACATCGTTGCATGAAGTCTTTGACTGTTGGTGTGAACTATGTAAGGGAGTGTAGAGTACCTGGTTGGGATCCTCATGACGACAGAAACTGGTGATTGGAGACTAGGTGATATGGTTCAGAATTGATGTCAGTGGCGCAAATGTACCCCCACTTCATCTGAATCATCATACCGAGTTTCAATATTCTCCCATTCCCGTTTGTCTTCTTTTGATGACGTTTGTCACTCTGCTTTCTTCCGTAGGGAGTTGATCTTTAACCAATGGGTCGCGGATTTGAACACCGCTCCGCCTACTGAGGTTTAGGCAGCCAGATAGTATCACTATCCTTCACATACTGGGTGTGGCTCATTGCCTACTACTGCACGAATGTGCACAAGATAGGTGAATGGATTTTCATTCGATTCCACTCCATGCATTCCCGCTTGATATGCTGACATGTGGTATGGTAACTTAAACCGTTACGCAGTAATGCTAGGTCCTATGTCGATTTTATCTGTCCATCTCCGAATCTCTTCAGTTTGATATATATTCTATCGACTGGTTCTTAGCAAACAAACTGATGCCAAATTAGTCTTCATCACTAAATGGACATTGCTGCTGGGCTGAAAATGACTTTGTACTTGGTGCTTTCAAATGAGTAGATCTTATTTCATTCCTCCAAAAACAAAAATTATCTCTATACATTCCGCTTATAATTTATTTTTTGAAGGTTTTTCCTGAATCATCCGTTAAACAGTTTGGCTTATTAATTCGTCAGACAATGTCGAATGTAGGCAAGCAGTGTAATATTAATGTTCCACTTCCTGTGAAACTTAGGATTGGTCCTAATTGGTCTGATTTAAAACAAGTCGACTGGTGATGAAAAATGTTTTGACTCATTACCACTATTAATTTGACCAAGGACTACTTTGATCTCCGCCAGTTTTGTCCTCTTTCATGTTTATGTCTATTGTTTTATTCTCATCTATTAACTTCTGATTCAATGATAATCTGTTTACGATCAATGAGAATGCATATTTTTTTGAAAATCTCTCAGGGATATGTGTAAATGTTTTGTTCTTTCTCAATGTTTATTTGTGATAAAGAATTTTATTCAAATTTTTATTTCTTTTAAGTGTAGCTTTTTTTCTCTTGATTTATAATGTCAGAATAAAATTGTAATACAAGAACTGATAGTAACTTTTCATATATTCATCTTATTCCAGTCAGCAGATGACCAAATCGTTAACTGGCAGGCTGACAGTTTGAAACCGGATCATGACCTACATTTTTGTTTTGGGTTACATTAATACTAGTCTGTTGAAGCATAACTATCTCAAATAGTCTCACAAGGACTGATAAAAATTCAATGAAACTTTAGATTGAAGAAAATCAGTTGATTGAGACTATATTTACTCAAGAAATCATACTGAAACAAGAGAATGTATTTCTGAGTAATAAGTAAAACAAAAGCTAAATATGCCGGAAACTTTTTTAGATTAGACTAGTGTCCCATGGCAGATAGTCTCAGTTTATTTTTATATCTGTGCGAGATCTGTATAAATACATTATCTATAAGTATCTTGGATAGGCGCCATTACTTAAATACCAATACAGTTTATTCAAAAAATAAAACTGCTCACTATGCAAGCTTCCGTAACACTAAATCACTGTCATTTGGAGAGCTGGTTGGATATTGTTTACTATCCTGGAACTTCTGCTACAATTCACCACAACGCATAATAACTGAAACTCCATATTGAGATCGCTCGTAATTATATATACTCATCTACAGGTTGACATGGAGTATGCAGATGATATTCTCCTGCTAGGTGAAGACGCTACCTTGCCTGATCAACTAGTTCACTAGTTACTAGCCGGCTTCAAGCCCGGATAAAAAGAGATGGTTGGGCATAGGGCTAAAAACCCTACACCTCAAAACCAATCTAACCAATGAAGAAACTTCGAAGCACAAAAACAATATAAAAAACAAAAGTAAACTTATTCCTCCTTGAAATAGGGTAGACGACATGACGCCTTCGCGAGGCCAGTTGGCCGATATATCTTCTATTCTCTCGATGAAAGCAAAAGTAAACATGGGGACATCCCATGTCCCTATGAAAGCCTTGAGGATCCCACGTGGTCAGTGTGTCTTCGCCTCTCTCGATGAAAGCAAAAGTAAGAATTGGGACATGGAATGTCCACACCATGTTTGAACCTAGCAAGGCTGCTCAGATTGCAAAAGATGAGGAAGTATGGCATAGAAGTGCCAGGAATCTGCAGATGGAATGGAAGTGGACTCTCCGAACTGTCAACTAGAGAGTCAATTATCTACTCCGATATTGTCACCCAGACGACAACCACGAGCACAGCACACTGAGTTATGGAGTGGCTATCATGATGCCACCAACAGCATCGAAGGCTTTCTCTCATGCAGTGGGAACCAATTTCCTCCTCCAGGATCTTGACAGCAAGATCCAACTCAAAACGAAGGAATGTCACAATCATACAGTGCTACGCTACGCACCTATGAATAATGCAGATCGAGTGAAGAAGGAGGAATTCTACAGAAAACTGCAATCAACACTGGACAAGACCACACCCCAGTTGGCGACGGCGACATCAAAATTCTAATAGGTGGGGTGACATAAATGTCAAAATGAGAGTGGACAACACAGGAAGAGAACTGATCATGTGTCGAGATGCATTGGGTGAAATGAACGAGAATGGAGAACTGTTTGCAGACTTGTGCGCATTTAATGATTTGGTGATTGGAGTCAGGCAGTGTGTACAAACACAAGGATATTCACAAGGCAGCGACATGGAGTTGATTTACCAGACACCGGGACACACTACACTAAAAATCAGATCGACTTCATTTCAATGTGGCGAAAGTGGATAGGGAGCCTACTGGACACAAGATGAGATCAAGAAGGTGAGTAGATGTAGGTTGACACCATTCACTGTCTAGTGCAAGGAACCTACCTTTCAAATCAAGTTGAAAGCCTTCACAGAAGTTGGTGATAGACTACAGTTGAAGTTGAACACCGAGAACAGAGACTGAACTGAAGGCGAAACTACAAAGGACATCTTCACATCAGTTAGTCAGTCGTCAGGACAAAGTGGGAGATACTGAGCAACATCCCTGAAGAAAGATGCATGGAAGAACACTTGATCTCTTTGAAAGTTATGTGGAAAGCAACCTGCATAACCGTGTTAGGAAGGAAGACTAAGAGGCAAGACAAGGAATGGATCTGGACGGATACATGGAAGCTGATAGAGGAGGGAAAGTGAGAGGAAGATGGTGAAGCAGAAGATGAACCAGTGCATTGCAGGGACGAACAAAGAAAGGAGGAACTGAGTGCAACGTATAAAACACTTGACAAAGAAGTGAAGAGGAGTGCGCGGTAAGACAAAAGACACTTCTACGACACACTGGCAAGTGAAGCAGAACAGGCTGGTGGTAGGAGACGGAGACCTGACAACATTGTATCAAATAACCAGGTTACTCTCTGGAAGATAAGAGATCAAGTCAGACGAAGCCAATGAAAGATAGTGAAGGGAAGCTATTTACCAAAGAGGAGAAATAAAAGGAATGATGGTCTGAACACTTCAAAAACTCTTGAATCGACTACCACTACCATCACCTGCAACTCGCTCAGAAATACAACTATCAGATCAGCCAGAGAATTATTAGTGAGCACAAACCGTCGGATAAAAGCAGAAGTGAAGTCCTGAACGCTATCAGGTTACAAGGAGCCGGAAAGCAGGAGGAACAGATGGAATTCCTCCAGAAGCAAGCAGTGAAAACAGACTCAGAGACAACGGAGGACACGCCAGACCACTGTTGCAGAAGGTTTTGAAGGAATGAAGGAAGGCAGGAAAGGTACCTGCCTGTCGATTGGAAGAAGGACTACCCTGTCAAACTCGCAGAGAAGGGTGACCTAAGTCTTTACAAGAACTGATGCAGAATCATGCTCCTATCCACTCCAAACAAAACATTAAGCCACATCATCGTGGAGAGACTAAAACATGCCCTGTATTCAAAATTACCACCGGAACAGGCTGGTTGGCTGGATTCAGGAAGTACAAATCATGTGTGGCTGAAATTGCAACGCTACGCTATGCATCATCATAGGACAGAGCATAGAATGGGAGTCAACTCAACTCTCCCTCAACTTCATGGATTTTGAAAAGGCCTTCGACAGCATCGACCGAGAAGTAATTTGACAGGCAGCTACTTGAACACTACGGTTTTAGTGCCACAAACTTTTATCAACCTCATTCAACAGGTATATGTTATATGAGGATGCTACATGCCAGGGGGTTGACAATGGAAAGCTGAGTGATGGCATTGAAGTGAAGACAGGGGACAGGAGTAAGACAAGACTGCCGCCTACTATCACGGATGATCTTCCTGATTGTTGTTGACTGGAGTGGACTGGAATCATGCAAAAGACGACTGTGATAAGAGGGGGGATAGGCTGGCTGGACCGATGAAGAGTCTGTAATATTTGGATTTTGCTGATGATGATTTGTGTCTAATGTCGCAGGAACTCGAAGATCTACAGGTGAAAACAATCAAGTTGACAGCAGAGGCAGCGGAAACGGGACTTTAAGTGAATGTGGAGAAGACAAAGGTGATGAAGATACCCAACCAACAACAAGCACCAATCACCATGAACGGGAGAAACTTAAAGGAAGTAGTCTCTTTCGCCTACACCTACTAGGCAAGGCAGCATCGTCTGAACTACAGACGAGGACGTCAAAGCCAGGATACGAAAAGCAAGACAGGTCTTCACTTATCTGAAATCAATGTGAAGATCTACTACACTCAGCATAAAGGACAGGATCCGGACTTTCATCACTAACGTCAGGCCAGTGCTCATTTCGATACGTTACGAAATGCACTTCCAACAAACTGCAGACATTCATCAACAACTGCCTCCTCTCGATACTGAAGATCAGATAGATGGTGAGAATAATAAGAACAAGGAACTCACTCTGGCAACCAACCAAGAACCCATCGCCAGCAAATATGCAGAAGAAAGTGGAGATGGATTTTACTGGACATACACTGAAAAGACCCTTCGGGGATATCACGTGCCAGGCTTTTGAATGGAACCCAAAGGGGAGACGACAAGTTGGGCATCCCAGCTGAGGGTGACATGGAGGAGATCGTGTGAGGAAGAAATGAAAGCTTGTGGGCAGTGGTGAAGCCAGGTTCAAAAGGCTGCAGAGGACGGAGTGCAATGGAGACGTGCTACTGAAGCCCTATGTTTCACTGGGAACCCAAGGGAGAAATAATAATAAAATAGGTGGAGAGGCTGACAGAACGCATGGTCTTTTTGATGTATTGAGCAGAATTCAGTATTTTGGCTAGCACGCGTAGTGCTGGCAACTATCGGCTGTGAGATGATGTTCCAGGAATAGTTCGCAACTAATCCCAGTTTAATGTTAGGGAGTGAAATTGTGGAGTATTACGTCCACTTCATCCCGAGCAGGCTGGTTGGTGACGGACTCCCAGCTGGGATACAAAAGACCTGTCTGGAACTTGTCAACTTGCGTTATCTGTGGCACCAGCGAGTATTCGACTGTCTATCAAAGAACGGCCATACTGCTGTCTGTCCATTTTAAGGTTGTGAGGCATGGGCCTCGAAAGTAGATGCGTAGAGGTTACAGAGTTTCAATCACAGATGTCTTCGTAGCATCGCTCACGTTTGGTGGAATCACCGTGTGAGCACTGTTGAAATCAGGCAAAATGGACTAGCAAGCCGATTGATGGGGTTGTGAATCTTAATCTACTGGGAATGCTTGGACATGTTCCACTTGTTCTCTGTATACTATTATGAAGTATGGAAACTTGAA